TAACAAAAGAAAATTCAAGATAGTTTAAAACTTATGATCTTATTAGTTGCTCAAGAGCAAAGAAGTCAAATAAATAAGATGAAGAAGAAAATTTCGTTCAATCAATTTTATACCCTGATGATCTGCTAGTAATTAGTTTAGAACTTTTGCAGCATGTGGTATTTAATTATATAATTGATAAAAAAATTTATTTCCTTATATAATATCTCCTTTTATTAATGGACAAGGACTTTGTGTATCAAACAATTTTCGTCCTAAATGACTTTATCTTACTCATGAAGACAAAAAAACAAAACAAAAAGAACAAAGAAGATGTTGATCATCAATGCCATCACGAATTTATGTAAGTTAATAAAGTTTAATTGGTGAATTTTTAAAATTCAACCTTTTAATTAATCATTATTAAATATTGAAATCTATTATCAACAGCTATCTAAATTTTTATAACAAAGTGTTGGTTGTAAATTCATATTTTAATATTGAAAAGATGCACAATGTAATCAGCATAAAATCTTTTTCTTTTTCAGAACGATTTAAACTTTCAGTAGACTGTACTTATCTCATTTATTGTAAGTAAGAGTTAACAGGAAATACAAAGTGGAAATAATATGTTATGCTTGAAATATTCTATTTAACTGAAATTCTTTTATTAAAAGTCTTGTATGATTAAAAATTTTGCAATTTTCATGATGAGAAAACCGAGACAGCTGCTACGGACATTCATCAAGACAAAAGATGTCAACGAAAGACTTAATATGAGTTGCGTGTGAAAAAGAATATATCATTTCTCAGTATGTTGAACAATATTCTTTGCAACAAGAAATTCATCGATAGCCTCATGACAGTGTGAGACATGTATATATGAAAATGTTATACATCACAAAAATACACCCTAAAGGAAAGAGGAAACATGCGAGAAAGGTTTTACCTGATGCGCACGTGAAGGTCAAAGGAAATGACCTGGCAGATTCGCTTGCACCTGCACGAAGAAGATACGGAATGTTGGACACCCGCAAAGATATTATAAAATATCTCGAACAAAATATAAGGTACTGCATATATCAGTTTCACGATGAATGTAAACCACAGGATGATGAAGACACTTGAGGTTAACGTACTTTAACTTTTTCTTAATCAAATTAACCTGAACAAGTAGTTGAGGAATCGTTTATAACAAGAATAGTTCAATAAACAGAAACAAGTTTTCATGTTCAATAAGAATTATAATATTCTTCAAGTATGTGTGGTTTCAAAATATGAAATAAAAAAATGTTCAGTTTACAGTATACTGAAGAAACATAATAAATTATTTATAATTGTTTTAAAACTAAAAATGTGAAAACTTGGACAATTTAGATTTAGAAATGATCATCTGCTAATCAAAAGTCTAACACGAGGATAAATTTGAGACCAAAAATTATTATAAAAGAAGCTCAATTAAATCAACAAATTCCTATTATTTTTATCCAACAATAGATTACTTTTTCTAGGTCTTTGATTTATCTACAACATGAGCAAAATTTTTACCCAAATGTTATTGAAAGACTCATGAGACCTTAATTGCCTGTTCTAAAAAATTAATTGGCTAGTCTGAGGAAGAAATATTTCTACTAAGCAGCTGAATGAATTATATGGAAAAAACTTTGCATGCTACAGGACTGTCTTGTGGTAGAGATAAGACTGCCTTGAAGCACTTAGAGGGTTCATCTTGCAAAGACAGAATATTAGTAATCAGTAATTTATTGAAATAATCCTGTTGTGGTCACAAGACATCATGTTATAGCTCTAACATAACACTTTTCAATTGTGAACATAACTTTAAATTATTTTAAATGAAAATTAAAAAATCTAACTACATCCGAGACTTCATCAAATCATGTGAACATCAAATTTAACATCACCTGCATGGCTAAAGCCATTCTGTGAAAGTGAGGAGAGTGTTCACAAGGTGTTAATTTATAGCTGTAATTAGTTATTATTCATTATGTCATTTATTTAGTATTCATTTTAAAAGGAATACTCCATTTATGAGTGATTTCTATCAGTAATGAATAAAAATGTCATGATATAGATAAAAATTTCCTTGACATATATCAGGGTTGTTCTCGGAATTTCAACGCAAGTTTACTATCAATATTTTTAATGTAATAATAAAAATTTATATTTTAAATCATTCAGCAGTTTTTATAAAATATTTTAAAATCATTTTTATTAGCAGTTTAATAGATTTCAATATTTTATTTGTGATTTAACTAATGTAATCCAATGAAGATTTAACATTTTCATATGAACACTGACAGATGTGAAATAAAATTAAATAGATAATAACACATGATGTGTGTTAATGACAATAATAATCATAAAATAATGTGTACACGCCAAGAGATTGAAATGCCAGCACCTGCCGCATTTATATCTTTAATTCCTATTCGAAAACGATCTTCATTGGATAATATTGGAGGATACCCACTGCTACTAAAGAAAAAGCAATAATGGTGTGGCGCAGAGCAGAAGTATATAAAACAGTTTTTTATACACAACATAATTACTCAAGAGGTTTGATCATGGATAATTGAACGTCTGAACACGATTATCTTCATCCCTAGACATTTATTGGCTTAGTATGAACAGAAGTGTGCAAGTTAAAATGTTGTTTAACGAAGTCGCTCGTGCCTAGTGAAATCGCGTGAGAGCATCGTCATTTTGAAGAGATACTTATGAGAAAAAAATTTGCATATATATGATGTTTGAAAATATATATTAAATGGAAATAAAATTCAGATAAAAAAAGTTTAATGTTAAGTACCAAGTGGGTATATATTCATTAACCTCGTTATTTTATACTTAAATTTACATTTTTTCATTTCTAAAAAAAAGTTCACTAAATTCAATAAAAAAAAAACAATGCAACTGACTCTTTTAAATCTCCATGATTATTGTACAGTCAATTATCAGCCATAAAAGCTCCAAAAAGTACTCTTAAAGTTTTTATTGTTTTATAAATTGTTGAGCTATTAAAATTATTTTTCATAATTATAAAGTAACTGATGAAAATGTAATGACGTTAATAAATTCTGAGGAGTGAATTTATTAATTTCTCCAGTATGCTTATGTTTAAGGGTAACGAATTTCCTTCTATATGAATTAAAATATTTCTAAAGATCAAAAATTTGATTCAGATCATTTTAATATTTATTATATCTTATAAAATATGCAACAGGATGTAATTATTATAACCCTCAATTAAGCAACTTTAATCATTTGATTTCATTTCTCATGTGATGATAAGTTACTTTTTTACTGCAAACGATTAACTCGTTATTTTTTATAGAATTTTATTGAATTAATTCAATGGTTAAATTAAATCAATTATTCAAAAAAGTATCAACAATAATAAAAAAAATATCCTAGGCTTCTTTAGTGAATTTTTTAATAAATTGGTTTGATTAAAAGCCTCATTGGAAGATTAAAAAAATATTTTTAGTCGTTTTCTTTATTGCTAATGTTTAAAAGCAATAAAGAAAGTTATATCTTTGAATTAATCTTTTAAATAAATAGTAAATTAAATTTAATTCTAAACTGGCAAAATGAGAAAGAGAAAGATTGCGTGGCTACAAGAAGTTGTATTATATACATCTACTCATAACTACATTCATTAAACGTCCAGACGATGAAACATCAAAGACACTCAAGCGCTTTGACTTTTAAATAATCACCCAGAATAGGAAGTAAATTTATTTCTACTATACCTACACATCTGACATATTTTTGAAAACACTAAAAATTTATTTCTACTTCATGTTAGTTCTATTTACATATGATGACGAGTAGGTTGAATTTCCTATTTCATTTCTGCTTTATGTGTCCTATTTATGTCATACTCTAGCACGCAAAATTAACTTTCATTACACAAAAATACACTCGACGAATGTCTCAGAAAGTCATAAATATTGAAAAGTGGCAATTATTTAAAATCATATTTCTGCTCTTGAAATTTTATTTATTTGACATTGGGACATGAATTGGAGAAAGTGATTTATATTAATGTGATATGATTTAACCAATTTTCGAAATGTTTACTAAAGTATTTTGATGTATTAATCAGTTGGAAGGACTGATTATGATGTAAAGTTTCATCAAAACAACAGTTTCAGGGGAACGTCGATGAAAATATACTGAAAGATATTTTTTACTCGATTTAATTTAACAGAATGACAAGTTTTTATGATGTAAGGAATGAAATCCCAACTCATTATGAATAATAGAAATATTTTTTGCTATGTAGAAAAAATTTTCTTGTAAAAATGATTATATCAGAATGAGCAATGATGCTTCTTAGAATGGTTATGGAGAAAAATGAATAATTGTTGTATACATAAGCTGACAAAACTATAGTCCTTGATTAAAAATGAATTCATTCTTGATCATAAGATTCTTAAATAACGAATATAATAATATGTAAAATATAAAACGAATAATCGTATTTTTTATCAAAGAATATTGTGATCAAGAATGAAATTATTTTTGATCTAGGAATATGGTTCTATCAATATATGTTGTAGAACTATTATATTTAAGCTGATCATACAAACTCACTTTCTATCACTGATAACTGCATTCTGTGATCCTTTTTTACCCAATTATTTACAATAAAAAGATTGTCTGGTAAATCAAGATTTACTCAATCAAGTATTTAACTAATAAAAAATTAAGTTTTCATTTATCATAATAAATGCATAGATAAAAATTTACAAGTCACTAGTAGACTACAGACTTGTCTCTTAATTTAATAAAAAAATTCTGTCAGTGCAAGATCATTAAAAACCTAACATGTACTAGATGAATTAAAATATTAATGACATTGATAATATTCAATACTTTTTTTTATATTCATTGATAAAATGTGAAATCAGCTGCTAGAATATACACAAATCTCTATTTCTATTTCTCACTTTTATCAGAATGAATAAAAAAAAAACATTATTCTTACTAAAACTTACCGGATAATCTTTCGCCTATTATTTGGATGCAAGTATCGTGCTCTTTTTGGATCAATTTCAGAAAGTTTACGATAAAGAACTTCATTGGATTCATTACTGTCTTCGTGTTCCATTGGCTTGGAGGCGACAAAAAGCTCTTCTTCTTCTTCTTCTTCTTTTTTCTCTTGTTCCTTTGGAATAAGTCTACTACCTTCGTCAGCTGTTAGTACAGTTGCTTCATCCTTGTGCTTGTTTTTAGTCTCTTTCTCACACTCGATTTCGCTGTCCTCGAATGCTCGACCATCATGTCTATTCATCAAGTTCCCAGACGCTTTAGGATCCTCAACGAGAATTTGCCAGAGCAGTGACTCAATGTAATAGTTCGTGCCTCCCACGATGATTGGCATCTTCCGCCTGGCCACTAAATCGTTTATCTGAATCGATTGAGGAAAAGGTCGTAACATGGTCGAATTTAAATATCTTACAAGAAACATAGACTAGGTCATCTTTTTTTTGGCAATTAATAAGAATTTTTTGTTGTCATTTTTTACTACTGAACTCACAAATCATGTTCTTTTTTGTTGATTAGTTTTGATTAATTATTAATTCATCAAAAAAAATGTTAAAGAAATCAATAATTACTTAATAAAACATTTGTGAAAATAAATGAATATTCAATTTTCTTTATGTAAAGCCATTTTTCTCAAAGCACATGCAATAGTGAATAATTAATAAAAGGATACAATTGGAAGAGCTTTTTTCTTGAAATCAACAACACAATAATTCATAAGTGGGTCCACGAGATTTATCATGTGATGTGGCACCATTGATTGTTCCTCTTGAGTCACTTTTGCGGTAATTATGTCTAACCCTTTATACACCTAAAGTAAATATTTATATTAAAATTTACATTTCACATATAAATACATTGGTAATATAATATATTCATATGTCATGTTTGCTTATGGAAATCATGGTTTTATAATTTTCACAATTTTTCATAATTTATACACTGATTTCTGTTGACAGTTTAATTAAAATTAAATAAATACTCGTGTTCTCTTCATAAAGGAAAAAAGAATCGAAACTTCTTTAAAAAAAACTCTTGAAATAACAAATTATCAAAATATGTGAAGAATAAAGAAAAATAAATTAAAGTTCCAATGAGTAATATTATTATTATTTAACACAAAAAAAAATTGATTATTTAATGAATCCACAAATTTATGGAAAGAATTATTTTTACATTCGTATGTTTTGAAGTAAAAAAAAATGATAAGGAAAAGCAAAAAAAAAATATTTATCATATAAAAACCTGTCTAGAAATCTTATAATTTTGATAAGTGACAAGTAATTGCTTATTAAATCACTCTAATGTTTGACGGATAGGATATGAATACCTGTATATAATTATTATAATTTTATCAAGCACATCATTAATATTACACAGATGAATGAAAAATTTCTAGTAAATATCTGTCAACTTACATTTAATTTTAAATAGAAAATAGTTTACAAGAGTCATCTTATTATCGACAAAATAAATAAATAAGCAAAATTGAAATAAAGATCTAAAAGGATGATACTTAAGTTGCAAGAATGTAAGCTTATAAGATACTAATCATGATTGCCTTGACCTGAAAGAAAATATTAAATATTGATTCAAGTGAAGAAATTAGTTGAGAGGACTAAATTGCACACTTGGATCATCTTAAGGATTGATACCTGAATATAAAAAGTCGAGTTTAAAATTCACAGTTTATCCTAGAGTAAGCTTAAGTCATTCGAAATGTATTTCAGAATAAAATGAAGAATTTAAAAAATAATTAAAAGCAATTTAATACCTATAGGATAGATAAGTTGGTAGAATCATTACTTATTCCAACATCATCAGATTTCACAACTAATTTGATTTTCTTTTCACTGATTTCTACATGCTCTTCACATCATACTACTTCCGTTACCATGGTCATTTCACTTGAGTGAATTGCACCGACATCATACAATTTTGTTTCACTACATTCATCACATTTAACAACGTCATCAAGCCTTTGGTTCGTTCCGTTCTCTTCTCAGTAATATTATAAATAAAACTTAACATAATAATTACACCGGAAACTGTATTTAACATTTAATTACAAAGTCTGTAATAATCTGGTTTTTTTGTCTACTGCTTATTAATTAGCAATGATCATGATGTCTTAGGCTTAGCAAATTATTGATTCAATGATCAGTAATTGATAAAAGCTCTTGAATACTTGAATCTTTTTCTAAACCTTATATTTAGGAAACTGTATTATTATTGTTATGATTGAACAAAATTCATTTGATGACTTTAAAATGCATTGGAATTGATGATCAAGTATCAAATTGAGAAAACTTCAAAGCATATGAATGTAGAGTAATTTATCAAAATAAAAAATGAAGAAACTTGAAATATTTTTTCTTTATTCATCAGCGTTGAAAAGATTCAATTTCTATTCATACCGGAAGTACATTACCATAATACCATTAGAAGGATTTTAAATAGACTCAATAGCTTCTATCACTAACTCACCGTCTCTAGTGTATAAAAATGAGCAAAAAGTTCTGAGTTAAGTCTATTTTCAGACAGTAAAAATTTTATGTAAAATAAAATGTGCTAAAATATTAAAAGTACCAGCAATATTGGATAAATTAAAAAATAAGCTATATTCTTTTTTTCGCGCTTTTTCACCCTGATAAACTGATAATTTATTAAGAACACTACAGCAAACAAACTTTTTTTTGATATTTTCAGGTCATCCATCATTTACTTTACATTGAATGTAAGAAAGTGATATTTCTTGTAAGAGATACTCAAGTGATAAAAGTGCTGTAATTAAATTATAAAAAATATTATTTTTAACAACAATTTAAAATTACTCTGATTTTCTTTACATAATAAAAGCACATGTTTATCAATATTTAAGTTAAACAGATAATAAAATAAAGGAACAACATACAATGAAAATTATAATTCAGTTGATCCTTATGCAGACTCTCTTTCGTAACGCGGTCAACCGGAAAGATTGAGTTCGAACGTTGACTTCAAACCCACTTAATTTATTCACACGACCAATGAGAGGGCAGATGTCGCGGTAGTTGATTAATAAACTTCAAGATGGGGCCAGAGAAGGTCGATTGATCACTCGAATGGCCTTGATGGGTAACGTAAGAAAGATAAGAAAGTCATTTGAATGACAGTTCACGACTAACCAATTTGCCAGTATAATGTTGATACAACATCCAAGACCAATTACTTTTCAGTACTATATAACAATATAATACTAAAATATTTCGTTGGTGTCGGCTGTCATTGAGGTTGCTTCCATATTCGGTTAACAGAAACATTAAAAGCGATCTTTCCGCCTCTTTTTGCTTCAAGTACTCTTAAGTAAAACCCTCGAGTGTAACGGGCCGATGCTAAGTAAATTAGCTCGTTCACTTGTCGGTAGAAGGGATGCTCGAGAGAGTATTATACTGTTTCTGTCTATCTCACTGAAGAAACAGACTCTTAATTGCATTGAGTGTCGAAAATAGTACCCAGGAAACAACTATCCAGTCGACTTTAAGTTTACTTTTTTGACACCAAGACGATTACTTTGCAGCTTCCTACATTCTATAACACTAACTTTTCGCATTTGAATATGCTATATTTAGATGTCGTCAAAAATCATTTACTTTTATCTACAAAAATAAAAATAAACTAACAAGAATAGATTCAAAGAAAATTAATATTCCAAGTGTAACTTTTAACTTAGACTTTGATGGGTACCACCACTAAATTTATCACCAAAGTTGCAATGTCCATTTGAATGATAGAGAAGTTTTAATGACAAATTACGTGACTTCTATAAGAGTATGTGCTGAAATCTAATGACTTGAGTTGATGATTATGAATATAATATTCGAACTGGATCAAAATCCTTCTGATGAGATGTAACTACCCAATCCCCATAAATACGACTTTTTATTCTAAAGATATAATAGAAGATCTGAAAAATAAAAGCTTTTATTAAAATTAATCCTCAAATTTTTCAAGATTTAAGAAAAATGAATAAAACTAACATTTCATAACTTACACATTTAAAACTTTTCATCTTTCTTTCTTCACACCTGCGAGAGTTTTTAAGTAAATTGTCTTATATTATTTGTCTGCAAGAATAATCTCCATTGCCCGAGATGATTCTCGTGAGATCTTTTAAAATGAAGGATATTGTATTCCATTTTCTCATGGTATCTTCATTTCGACTTGCAAACCGGTTCATTCTTGTCTGATATACATTTTCTTCATTTATAAAATCCTTCATGACACGTGGGCGTGTCAAACATATCAAATATACTATACACCACAAATTATTTTCCAAATGATGTCGCTCTCATTTTGTAATACTTTTGTTATTACTGGTATAATTAATTGCAATTATTTTCTCCACATTATTTTGCAATTGGATCATCATTTTTAGTCTTGTTTAGTCTTTTAATTAATTACTTTAAAAACAATTTGATTAATAATTGTCAAATTCTGATTAGCAAGTTTTCAATCAATTTGTCTATATTGATAATATCTTTACTATTCAAAGTGATTATGTAATTCTGTAGTAAATTATTACTAGACATGTAGATAAATAAAACTTCAATTATAAATAAAACGTATTCAAATATAACTTTGCAAAATGCTACGGTACTTAATGAAATGAAAGTTCAAAGTTGTAACAAGAGAGCTATGGTTAGTTCTCATACTCAATATAGTTTCCTCTCGAATCCTATTGATAATTTTATACACTCTGAATTCTTTATACTATACCACAATTTAGGTGATTTGATATTCAAGTGGCTCTCGGTAAGAAGTAATAACTCATCTCTCTTGATTGGATTATAATAGTTCAATTTAAAAAATAATCTTGGATTTTTTCAATTCAAACACTTCTTCCAGAATTAAGATGGTACTTGCTCAATATTGATTTTCTCTTATCTAGAAAGCATGATTGAATTTTTCTAATTTATTTACTAATAATTTTCAATTATAATTTTAGTTCATAGGATTTCCAACTTTATTTTCTCCTCATGATGTTGATTAAGTTCACTTGTCAATCATAATTATTTACCAAAACAAAGGTAATTTTACTAAAATATATTAACTAGTACAACACTCCCTATTTGGAGAAGTCAAAAAATAATTTGAAATTCATTGAAACTCAAATTTTTATTCACCAAACGTATAAGTGGCATCCATCTAAAAGCATCAAAGACTTCAAACAACAGCAGACAGTGTTGATTAATTATACTGTAATTCGTTCGATGGATATCCTCTTTACACGTCTATAGTGAAGACGATCATTAGTACCAAGAGTATTCGTACTAATTAACCAAGAATACTAAGTGGTTCTTGAATAAATACACTGCAAACAGCGGGTGTATATCACCATCTTTACCAATAGGAGCAAAAGAAAAATCAGAAGATGGCGAGAATGCTACTTAATAGGGTTACTTTCTCAGTTGGTTCAAGTTATCAACTTTGTTGAATGCAGTTATGTAGAGTGAATGGTTCCTTATTATTGATCTTCAGATTAATCGTATGTACACTTCAATGCCTATGTGAGGCTTGGAACATTTTTCCAGCTTTATACCTCAGTATAGTTGATAACAATCTATATAAATGTGCTGAGATTAAATGATTTTATCTGTTTTATAGATAATTAATCTTCAATTGATATTTTTTTCAATTATAATTAAATAAAATCAATTATTAGTTTTTATAGAATTAATCGATCTATCGGTGTTTTGAAACAGTCTAAACTTATGGAAAAGGAGTATTAAACTGGTCACTTCTAGTCAAGAAGAAAACAGGATAAATAAATGAAGAAAAAAAAAATTAACTCTTTTCCCAAGTCGATATTAATCTATGATGTTAATTGACAAAGATAAAGGTTGATTTTTTTTAATTAGTTAAGTGGTTTATTATACGAAATTAACACTAATGAAATAATTAATAAAAAAAATAAACATTTACTCTAGAGGTGATCAAAAAGGTTGTATTTTGTTAGAAAAAAGTTTAAATTTTTATTTCATAGATATGAGAATTAAAAAAAAATCATGATAGCAAACTTTTAAGTCATAAATTATTAGAAATAAGTGTTAATTTATGTAAAAATAAAAAAAAATCAATTTCAATTCATAATTAATAAAAAATTCTTAATAAAAGTATAATCTCTTTGTAGAATCAATGAATATTTATTGAATTTGAGTAAAGAAATCAATACTTTGAAATAGCAAAAATATTTTCTTTTTTTCCTGACTAATAAATTTTAAACAATTTATTACTTGAATATTATAATATTATGTAAAATTAAAAATGTTTTACTATTAGAACTAATATAAAAATTTAATAGCATAAATTTTTAATTAATATAAAAAAATAAATATTAATAAATTTTTCATTATCATAAAAAATTACTTTTCTATAAAAACATTTTTTTGTTTCTCACCTTTTGGAAATCATTAGGTATGTAGAAAAGAATAAAAAAAAACCCTAACCAAATGAAAAGTTATTCATCAAATATTATTTATGTAGCTTCTTACAGTTTCTGTTCCAAGAATTTTCTCCGAGAATTTCAACACTTGTGTAATCTCTATCCCACGGTTCAGTATTCAGTAGACAGGGAAAATGTTTATATCACATGACTACATACGAAACGACGATTAGATCATCACTTACTAGTCAAGGTTGCCCTTGAAGTAATTCATGAACGAAATTTGGTAATCGTCACATTGTCAATGAACTTGGTCTTTTTTTATCTTTTGCTTACTTTGTACTCCATCAGAAGTGAAGGTCTTTATTTTAAAAAATACTCTAGCCACCAGAGTCTAGCCTAAACCAGTTGTAAATTTACCACAACCAAATGAGACCCTTTTGGGTGGCTGCGTTTGATGGTATAGTAATAAAAATTGACAATTTACATGATTAATTTTATTCGAGAATTTTTATGGGAAGTGTATAGAATATATTTGGAGTGAAGAAATATTTCTGCCAAATAAAACATAATAAATTATAATAAAATGTACATAAAGGGTTCTAAATTGTCATTGAAACTGCAGACATCATGCTCGTGAATTTTAAAATTATTTCTAAATCAAGATCTATAGATAGATGCTTAATAAATTAATAGAATCAAACTCAAAAAATTGATCTCTTTTGTTAATTAATTATTACCACTTCAACATAAGTGACAGGTGAAATTCATCAATGAAAACCTTGAGAATGAAAAAATAATGTGGGAAAAAAAATTATTAAATTTTCTGATATTTAAAAAAATTAAGACCATAAAAAGAATGACCATTTTCGAAGAATCATATCAATTTCGAGGAAAAAAAATATAAGATGTTTGCTCTTACGAAAAATCTACAGTCTCAGGATGTCTCTTAACAAGATTATATAGACTATCAAGAATGAAATGTACTTGCGTTGACTTTTGTCGATCAGAGTCCCTTTTTTCTTAGATAAGTAAATAGCTAACACGTGGTATGACTACATACTACACTTTGGAGAATAAAAGATTATATGTTTAATTTATAAATTCCGGAAAAAGGGGAAATGCATTAAGATTCATAGCATCATGCAGATGACGAAGAAATCTAACCCATTTACCCGGAAGTTGTAAAGACATATAAAAACCGGAATTTTATGTTTGACTGACGAATATCTAGACGTCTAGTACCTACATCTGTTCTCGAGATCTATTCTGATGAATTAAAATTAAAATTTAGTTGGAAAAATACACAAAATAATAAAATCTCTAATTTATGTGAAACAGTGTTTGATCTTAGAAAGAAAAAATTCAAATTTTACCTTTGCGGTAGTGAATTGTTTTTTCATTATATAAATCACAACCTAAATAATATAAATATATATGTATAAAAATCACCAACATTACTTTGATGGTACAAAATCCAAATGTGAAAATAGTTTTATGATTGAAGAATATTAATCATTTATTTAACTTGTAAATTTCAACATTTTTAAATAATTTTTTCCATCAACTAGTACCAATTATTCTTTGCATAATTATATCTAATAAAGATTAACGAATACTTATTGCTCATTAGTATTTATTGCTTATCAGGTGTCAGTTCTGTTATATTTCATCATTATTTTATAAGACAAGATAAAAAATGATCTCCATGTATCGAACACTATTATACATGATAAGAAATTGATGATGAACACAAAAAACAATCAACTATTTATCATCTTAGTTAAATATAAAGTATGAATGACGAGCGCCGTAAGACATTTAACCGGAAACCTCAAGAGTTGATTATGAATTTTATCTGAAACTATGTCATGTGGGCCCTAATGAGACCATTTGAATGAAGGCCGCAAATCCTAATGTTGAAACACGTGGCAACCTCTTCGATCCAACCGTTCACAAGAATATCATGTGATAAATATGCTACGGATACGTGTGGTTTTGTTATCCAATGTGTGAGATAATGGAAACGACCAATTTGCACTTTTCTTATATTGTGATCATGTGAATTGTTGTGATACATAAACACTCAGAAACGTTGTCATTAATCTATTTATATGATTATTTCCTTCTATCATTACATACTGAGAATTTCAGTTAACTAAGTAAAAGTATATCTTCAATCTAATTCAATTATCTTTAAATTGTATATAAAATACCAAAAATCAAGTTACTATCAATCATTATAGATAAATTACTCCATTTCACACACTTTGAAGTGGATATTATTTTTTATAAATACCTATTGTTGTAAGAATTTTATCTTACAAGTTATAATAATATTCAGTCCATGGAATAATTGTGATAAATAATAGAAAAAATTTTTACTGTGAATTTTAAACTATAAGATATCCTAGGCATACTTGATTATAAAACGTTTATTGAAGTGATTGGATTTACAGTAATGCTGCAACCATATCAATTGAAAAAAGGTTAACCTTTTTTCGAAACAAATGCTTTGATGACTACTTTAACCTACTTTTCCATAAATATTAAAACATAAATATAAATTATTTAAGCATGTTTCTTCTGGCTAGTTATTTTTATGTAAATTTCAGAATGGCAGTAATAAAAAAGCAAAAAACATAAGCAGAATAAGTAAATAATAGCTTGATAATTTCACATCATATCTTTTAACTAGCAACTTTTTGTTCTTATTTTGTAAGAACTCATATACTATGGTGTTTTTGGTAGATACATGAAATTTTAGTGCTCGAGTTAATTACACATGCACTGTTGCTATTATTCAAGTACTTAGGGTAATGAAGACAAACATTTTATAGCTACAATCTTCAAATGCAAATGACGAAACTTTGTATTCATTTGCATATAATCGAAAGCAAATTCTACTAATATAAATAGCTCAAATTATCGGAGTACGTGCAATAATACATTTTTACGTACTCAATTTCTTTCAAATATTCTATCTATGCAGGGGGCAATTTAAATTAATTACACCAATCTTCTTGGTCTTTCACCATTTCTATCTAACCTAGATGTGAATTAATAAATTTATAAATAATACATTTTACTAGTTAATTAGTAGTCATCAGATTTTTGCATTTATTGGATGAATTTTAGAAAACCTGCAATCATATGAAAACAGTATAAAATATTTAGAAAAATAATTGATGGATTATTAATATTATTCTTTTTTCATGGCAAATTGATAGGAAAATAATTATTATATAAATTAAAGAATAAATTGGAAAGTTAATATGCATATTCTATCATTTTATTATTTATTAAATAAACGATGCAAAACGATTTTGCATCAGCTTAGAACTGTTTTATTTATTCTAAAAAAAAAACTTTTTTATTTATGGTGCAATATCAAAACTGTAAATCCAATGTTCAGAAACAGATTATTATGGATATTATTATAATTACTTCAATTATAGAAAAAAAAAATAAATATAGCATGAAAATATGTAGATTGAAAAAAAGTAATGTTTTTTATTACCATATATTATTGATAAACAACCATCTTTTTTGTTTTTCTTTGTAGCAAACTAGTATAACTAGTAATTGTTAAAATAATTAATATCCATTAGGTCTTCATTATTTAAATTATTATCAACATATTTTTCAAATAAAATCAACGTATGTTTGATTCCAACCTCAATACGTTTCTACTTCAATGAACGTTTTAACTTCTTATTTTTAATTGCTTTACATAAAAAAACTTTATTATAAAATGATATTACGTTTAAATCGTCAAGCATTACTGCTTTAATTTGTGCGTAGTTTGATGAAATAGACACGAAACGCAAATATTTCGTGTCTACAAAAACTTAACCTTTAAAAGCACGAGGTACCGTGCGCATGACTTTACACGATGGATCAAACCAATCTGACAATTTCTTACCTGCATACTGTCAGCTGAAATAATTTCTCCGGAATATTTGAGAGCTAATTCAATACCTAAACGGGATTTTCCTGTGCCGGTTGAGCCCAGAATTACAAGAATAGGCACTCGCGACATATCAATAACCTGCGTAATCTCTAGTTTATTATGCCACAAGTCACAGTACTGACAAAGAGGCAAAACGATAAAGTGAGATAAAGAGAATTGATGAAAAGCGCATGCGCAGCTATAGTCCATCCACGCGCATTCTTGTGAGCATTCTATTTGCTTTTAAATAGCCCCGTTCCACTCGTTCCATCGTCGCAGACGCGGGTATTTCAAGAGTAACTGGAAAATCGCGAATGCTTGGTGCATACCGACTACACGACAGACTATAAGTAACTAAAAGTACATTCTCTAGAATTAAACACGTTACAAGAAACTCTACACCACACTAAAACTAGACTTAAGGGCCACATGTATTTCCTTCAAAATGGGTGCCAAAAGATATTGCATTTTCATCGTTTATTTATTTGCTCTTGTTTCAATAATTTCACAAATAAATTATAACCTTAAATTTTGATTATTGATCCAATAATTTGGTTTTTTTTGGTCAATCAAAAATGAAATTATACTCTAATATTTGATTGAAAATAACTAATGATTATTAGAAATAATTATTTTGAGGTTAAACCTAGTGATGAATTTGTTTATGATTGTATAAGTTTTATTTAATTATTGAAACTCGAGCATAACTTACCTAGTGTTCGTTGGATACTCTAAATAGATAAAGATGTCATAAAATGACTTGAAGATAGCAAAACAATTTTTTTTATTATGTTGAAAAAAGTTAAGTAATAGTACTTTATTGATAGTTCTTGTTTCATAAATAGTTCAGAATGAATAAATGAACGTTAACATGAGAATATGAACATTTGTCATTAATTCATAAAACTCAAGACAATAAAGATAAAAGAATTTTTGAAATTCAATTTCATTTATTGATTATTCTTAACTTAAACAATTCATGTCATGTATTTTTAAAACATTTCATTGTTCTTTCATTTTTTCATTCATTACTATTGTCACTTATTGCAATATAATTTATATTTATGATATAAAAATGAACAAATATCTATTATTATTTCAATATTTACAGATAGATTACTACATTTACTTCTATGATAAGCAGAGGAGAATTGCAAGAAGAAAATAAATTGTCACTTAAGATTAAATATAAGTTATGTAACCCATTTGTTTACAAACAAATTCTAATTTTCTTGTAGCAAATAATCAAAAAGTTCAGTAAATATATTAGAAATGATAATGTCACCGATAATCCGTTAGCATTGATTACAACAATGTCATATGTGTTGTTAATATAGGTCATTATTAAGAAAACTTATTGTCTACAGCAACTAATAAATGGATATTTAAGTCAAGTAACTTCCTCTAAAGTTTCTATTTACTTTTTTCATAAATAAACATGCTAAATTCGATAGCAAATTCATATAAATTATTAAACATTACCCAGAATCTTAGGAGGAACTCTCACATACATGCATTCCAACATAATTCACAACTGTTATGTAAGTGATGAATTGATTGATAAATGACACTCACGACTTACTGACGACTGAGAATGAAAATTTAATCTAGACTTTAAACAATATTATTAATTATATAATTAATAGTTTCAATGTATAACTATTTCCGATCTTGTTATGAATAATATTGTATTTAATTTTCCAAGCATGAAATTGAACTCCATGATGTTGCACATGGTGCTGCAACTTCAGCATCTGCAAAATTAAATCGTGGAATCCCCACAATAGCTTAGTGTAGGGACTATTCAGTGTTCAACGGGTTTCCCCAAGTCTAGCTAATAATCAGTCATGCGATTTTCCCACTTAGTCCAAGATTGATAGTAGCTCTAACAGATTTGCAGTTTGATACATCTGGATACTTTTAATTCATTATATCTATAAATTTTTCCTATTCAGTTAAAAGGAATTATAAATTTTTTTCACATTATTTTCAATCATTAACACATCCTAGAATCTTATATAATTGTAAAATGTACATTATTTAATGGTTATTTTATTTTAAGAATAATATCAACATGTTTATTATTAAAAAAGGTAAGATGTCAAGCGAAAACTATAGTATTATGACTAACTATACGAGTTGGTAAGATTAGATTCGTTCTTTTTAGAATTAGAACTCTTGATAAGCTAACGCCATAACAAAAATCATACATAAAAGAAAATGTTTTTTTTACGATGATAAGGTAGCAAGTGAACATAACTGGTACTTGATGTAGGACAAATATTAAATAACGGAAACGAAAACATTAATATAGTTTTACAGCGCTTTATTAATATATATTTTTTTGAAATAAAAATGTCAAGGAAACTGATTATCCTTTGTATACATATTACAAAAATGTGCAAAAACATAATATTCGGATTAATTGTTGAAATTTTTGTGTTTGGTTTTTACATTCATCAAATGTATATGCATCACTAGTAACAAAATTCGATTTTATTTTAAACGGAAATGTTTTTTAATATTCAAAAATAAACAACTCATCAGTTCAATATTTTTGAAGTATTATCTAGTTAAAATGACTCATTTATCAGTTCGTAATTACTGGATTTAACCATTGTGGCGATTTAATAAACAATAATATCTTAAGTACAATAAAAAAAAATTCTTCGGCTTTTTTATTTTTTTAATTCTCTCACTCTGTTTTGCCTGGAGGAACAAAGTTCCGAGTTAAATCATATTAAAAACTATTTTCTACTTAGACAGTTTTGTAATGCTAACATTAATTAATAATTTTTCAATCACACTTTATGTCTGTTACAAAAGTTACACTTTTTTTAAAAAAACTGTGTAACACAACAAGCTTTTATATTTTTCTTATAGCTAATTTTTTCTCTTATTCTATCTTAATTGATTTCATAACAGATGGGGAGTATACATTATTGAATAGAGGTATATAAATTTTTACTTATTACTGCGAACCTTTGATATAAAGATTTTTCGCTTAATTATTTGAACATATAATAAAAAGTGTCATAATTTTATAAGTGTTGTTAGTTTGTTTCGAGAGACTTATTATTTATTATTATGTTCTTATTAACTATAGTTGGGATCAAATATTGTATAGCTGGAACGTTTTAATAGTAATGTTAAATACTCAAGTACATACAAAAATTTATCAATTACAATAATCCAGTAGATTATTGTGATTTCTAATCATCAAAGCACACTGTCGAATTTATACAATCTCCGAGTAATAGGTACAATAAAGTCAGGGACTTTCACTCACAAAATCTGTCATAGTTGATAAATGATTTAGAAAATTTTATTCTTATTCAACTATAAGTTATTTTTATACAAATCTATGGTAAAATCCCTTTTAAAGCCACTAAGTCTCTGGAGTATTAAATCGCTACGAAAAAATCATGATGTCTTGTAGAGTAAAAAAAACAATAAAAAGCTATCAGACATCATAATTCATCACTTGAGCGATAGTCACTTTGTTTATATAATTAATATTTTTTTTTTATTATAACAATTTTCATTGCAAAAATAAGAGATTCTATAGATTTACGTATTACAGGTAAACTAGTTTCGATTAAAATTCATCCTTCCCTTTTTCTTGTTTATTTGCTATTTGCCACTTTCTTTTTCATTTTCACAATAAAAAATTTTCTCTTTCTTTTTTCTTATTAAATCGCCTCTTAGAGATGAATATTCATTACCAATGATACTTCTATGTCAATTTTTGTTTCCTTTTACAATATATGAAAATAAAGGGGTAAATAAAAATATCGTTTTACCCTCGATAAAAAAACTTACATTACTTATATGTGAATAATTAATGTGCATATATCCTTGACATTTTATATATTTATATAAATTCAAGCATTACAAATATTAATATTATTGTTTATTATCTTCATTATTATTATGATTATCAATATTATTATTAATTGATTGATAATAATAATATTAGCTCTATTAGCAGTTTATAGCACTATTATTATTATTATAATTTTCATTATTAATATTATTATTAGTATTATTACTATCATTATTATCTTGATTTTCGATTATTTGTAAAAGCATTTTAAGTTTCGAATATAATTAAATGTTATTTTTTTTTACTTCCATGTAATCGATTTATTACATGGAAGTTATTATTTATACATAAGATATTAAATCGTACATTATAAATTTACATAACTAAAAAATTCAACGAAATTTTTTGCATTTAGTTTAGATCATAAGCAAAAGCACGCAGTCCTTGAGAAATCTTCATAAAAGTTAAAAATATTATTTATTATCAAACTGCTCGACAAAATAACATTTACGTGCTTCAAAAAATCAATAAAACTATATAAAATAAATGAAAACACTTAAAAAAAATTTTTTAATCATAACGATATGTTGAAAAAATAGAAAATAATAGAAAAATTTAAATTGTGATTCATAATATGAAAATCTCAAAAATTTTATCTTTTATACTTTTCTTATTTTATTTCTTTAGTATGAATTTTTCGTTTTTTTTTTGTATTTTTTTCTTTTCAATTGTCAACAAATAACTGAATATCTAAGAGACGTTCAGATCAAAAAATGTTTCTATTTTTTTTTTTATTAATAAAAATAAAATAATTTCGGGTTCATTTTCACATAATTTTTCATTTTCTTTCTCATTTTCTATTTATTATGTTTTTTATTACAATAACTATCATTTTTTCAATATTTATGAAGCTAACAGGTACGTTTGCACTCTTTTAAAAACGACAACGATACACAATCTTGAGGTTTTATTTATTGAAAATGACTTTTTATAATATTTAATTTTTTCTATTTTCATTAGAATCATTTTTATCATATTTTTCAATACCATATTTGATAATTAAAGCTATCTTCCAACATAAGTGATGTTATCGGATCCAATTTGTAAAAATAAATTATTATCATTATCAACAATACAAAAAATAAAATTTTTATATTTAAATATCAAAGTTATAAAAAAGTACATTCTTGACCGACAACTGATCATTTTTTTTGGTATATTTATATAGCATGAATGTGAAAAAATTAAATAGATGGTGTATCATTGTCGCAAATGTATAAAATTGAAAAATTTCTATGTCAATGATATCATGAAAAAAGAAAAATAAGTGGTTTTTAAGTGGTTTTACGGGATATTTATATGAATTGCTATGGAAAATAAGATGAAGTCTTGTCCTCTTTTTCTTATTTTATTATAATAGTTGGCACAATAAACTAAATCAGTAAAATGAAAATTCACGGGTTCATCAATTATGAAAAAATATCTGAGCATGGTCGATTTCTTTTTTTATACAAGGCACGTGTTACAAAGTTATATTTGTCAATTTCATATTTTAAAATAGAAATGAGATGAGACTATATCTATATTTTCTATTCGACTCTGAATATCTTCCTGTTAAAGCGTCCGTTACATTTTTTTCTTACTATAATATATTATCATTGAATGAAATATAACGCGAAATCACCATCTAAATGAAAATTTTATTTTCAAAAATAAAAATATTACTATCAAAAAGAATCATTCTTTTACACAAAAAAATTTATACTTAATTTAACAACGAATGATTTTGCACAATTTAAACTTTTGCATCTTTTTGAGTAGCATTTTTTTTCAGTTTTTGAATTCAATTATTTAAGATTAAATATCTTATTGAGCAAGAATATTATAAGTGTAGTTTACGCATTATTTTATAGTTTGTTCTCAACAAGAATAATTTTTCTCTTAATTTACTTGTCGACTCAATATTGGAATCATTATTTCAGTATGAATAAATTTAATGAAGCGATGAGTAAAAAATTTTTTTATATCATTATTAAATAAATTCAATATTTTTTATTGAATATAAATAAAAAGCCGTTGACATGCCTTAAACAAGCTTTGAAACAGCGATCATTATCGATTTTAGTACCATCAATGAACTAATTCTAGATCAAGCACTTATGTATGTTGCAACATAGGTTTTGAATTATTTCAATATTATTAGAAATTCTATTCAACTAATTAATATGTTTTTATCATTTTATTCATTGTACATAAATATTTTTTACGTATATACGGTAGTAATAGTTTTTTTTACATTTACACTGTTCTGTTGATTTAAACATCAACTATTTTTAATTATGAAATTTTCTACTCAATTATATCAAGAATACACTCTTTCTTGCTTCTAACATTTATCTTGAAAAATTCAGTTTATATTGTGAATATTTATTTATTCTATCATTCATTCACTATCGTTACTGTTAATTTCTCGTTTTCTTAAGCATCCCATTTTCGTCCTATTAAAAATGTATATAAGCAAATACTGTTATCTACATATGTAATGAACACATTTTTTGTTTTAAACTTTTTCTAATTATTCGTACATAATTGTTTACTATACGAACCAAACTTGAACAATATTTTTGCATTTTCATATTTACATGAATCAAAATAATTAAAATAAACTATTAGAAAAAACTTCCTAAATGATTACCATAAATGTTCATAAAGTGAGCAAAAATATAAATTATTCAAACAATAATATTCTCATAAATTATTTTTTAGATTAAGGAATTTATAAAATTTTTTCTTCATTTGTAATAAAAAATAACCAATCGATCGTTTTAGAAAATGAGTCCATAAGCCGTATGAGCAATTACTACCTTTCTTTCTGATTTTATTTGCAGATGATTTTGCAGAAGATTCAACAATTTATTTATATTTCGGATAAAGTATTTTTATTGTAAAATATTCGGTGTACATAAATTACTTGTAATTAAATACAACCATGAATTAAAAAAAAAATTAAATTATATTTTCATCAATAGAATAATATTTAAAAATAATTATTGAACTCAGAAATAAGAATAATTAAATCTTTTATATATATATATATATATATATATTTATATATATAACAATACAACAATATAAGATCAGTGTCAAATTACATTATTTTCGTTTTATTTTTTCCGAGTAAATTATCACCATGAATTAATAATTATAAATGTTATTTTCATTTGAATATACGATTCACATATATAACGTTATATATCAATATGCAAACTTATTCTTATATTTATTTTATTCTAAAGTAATATTTACATCATGCTAGACTATCATATACTTAAATTATTACACGAATCAAAAAAAAAAAGAAAATTCGTAATCCATATCGTATTTATAATTACATAAATCTGACGAAATCAATCCTTTCGAAAATGTTTGCAGTATAAAACTAAACACTAATTTTTCTTTAAAATATTAAGAAAAATTTTGTCAACTTTATTCCAGCAAAGTGAAAAAATTTTCAATCAATTTTTGGTTATTTTTTATCTCCTACAAATGAATAATGTAAAACCTTACTCTATCTAATAAATGTATTATTCAATAGTCAAATATACTTATTAATTTTATGGCCTCAAAGATTGAATAAAAGCGTAAAGTTAAATATAAATAGGAGGCCGAAAATTCCAAGATGAATTAATAAATAAATATAACTAATAATAAGATAATTAAGAAACGTCCATTCCAATTATCATGATGGGAGAAATGCATTTTTAACGGATGATAAACCACTATTTTTCTTTTATCATGACATGGCTCACGAAATTCTATATATGCGTCTTTAAACGCTTCATATATATATATATATGTTCATACATATACATATACATACATTTTTGCTTACCTTCATATAACTATCTACAATTCGTTGATACGACATCGCACAGCAATTGTCGATTAATGAACGAAAAAATGTACGAAATTTATATATCAATAAACAAATGTGGCTCAACCACTGTAGAGAAAAGTATAATCAATAGAATAGAATAATAATTATTATATAAATATAGGGGTTGCACGAAACGATCCTTTCTTAATAATAAAATTAATAATAATAATAATTATAATAATTGAAACTGCTTAAATATTAAAAAAATCAGTCAAATTAGATGTATTCTAGCAGCTATTGAATTCTAAAAGGTTGTAAAAATTCAAGTAATAACTTTATGAAGTAGAAAAAAATATATATATTTGTATTTATATATCTATTTACATATGAATGGCGTTCATTTGAAGACTGATGTAATTATTTATAATTGAATGAAGCGCGCCAACCCCTATTTATTAACTTGAAGTTCACCAATGAACCCGATGTAATAGTTAAGGTGATAAAAATGATTAAAGCAAAAACGCATCTAAATATCTAATTATGATGTTATTACAATATTTTCTAAGCCACTGACAATTGTCCGTATACTAAGTGACTCATGTTGTTGTTTATTTCTATGTTTATGTCTGTTTATTTGTTTCTGATATCCAATTAAACGTTGATCCGAGCTCGCTTTTGTTAATAGAGTCTTTGGATCCCTGAGTTAAAAAAATTCGGTATGCACATTCCGAACAGAGCGCAATTTTCAATACCACTGTTATGTCTTAAAAAACGAATTCTACAAACCGGTCTGAACGACTGTCAGCTTTTCAAGTCGAAGTTGTCAGCTCACAAATCGCAGAATTCTCTAAAACCGGTGCTATTCCTGCAAAAAACTTCAAGAAAATCCTTTTCCAAAGGATCTACTAATTCATTTTCATTTGTCCAACTTTAATCGATCCTAAATTTCTTATCCAGATTGTTTTCAACGACAAATGCATTTTTAAGAGACATAGTTTCATTTTGTTTTTTGTTTTTTTTTTAATTTTTGTTGTAAGTAAAAAAAATTTATTTCTTTTTTGAATTTTCAATGAATTTTATTTCAACGAGTCAGTGCTAAACTTCTTCTCAGAAAACTTAATCGTGCTCTTAGTTTCTCTTGTTGTTTTTTCAACTCAATAATTCTCATAGTGTTCTCGGCTTCGATTTCCTTCATTTTATCACAGTACTTGGAGGCCTGTCGCAAAATCGCTACTTTAGGTGCTTTCTCTTTAGATTCTATTTCCGGCACTAAACGTCTCAAGTCATCGAATGCATTCCTCAATTCAATTCTTCTTTGCCGCTCCATATTATTGTGAAGATTTCTCTTGTCTGTATCAGGTTCATCATCAGAAGAACTTCTTGAGGATGATAAATTCTTGATTGGTAGTGGTGGTGGTGGTGGTGGTATCGATATCGATGCTGGTGAATTTTGCTTTGATGTTTTGGCCTTTTTTGCACAGGTTCGTTGCACGGCTACACGTTTCGCTGGTCTCTGTTGAGCTTGACTTTGAGCTGGACGTTTACGGCTTGCATTTGGCGGTCTACCACGCGGCCGAGGTGCAGGTTTTTCATTTAAAACTATGTTTACTTTCGATTGTATCACCTTATGATCGGCTGAGCTCGGAAGTGTGGGAAGAATTGCTGGCTTGCAGGGCTTCTCGAACGACACTACATCAATCTCTTCTTCTAAAACAAATAACATATTTTTATATTATGATTTTTATTTATTTATTTTAAATATCTTACATAACTAATTATTCTTTAAAATAAATTAATCAACAATTAGATAATAAAGTTTGAATCTAATGATAACGATTAAAGTTTTTTTTTAAACAGCAACAATTATAGTATCCACTTCTTAAGAAATAAAATTACTAATGAGTTGAACTATTATATGTATAAGTGCTTTTGATCACAGATAATTATTATTTGCAAGCAAGTACATACAATGTAAAACCTTGAAATTGTCAATAATTATTATGAGCATGACTGAAGCATTACATTGTTGATAAGATTTAACAACTCGTCGTAACATATATAAGATTATATTGAAGATTATAAATAGACATTAATGTACTATTATAGTTTAAGGTTGATACTACATTGCACTGATAGTTGTAGTATATGAGGAATTATTAACTTTTATGAGAATAATTGATGCTCAACGAATAAGTATAATTTATTAGAGGAAAATTTTTTTAGTTTATCTACTTTTTACAGTTTAGTATCTAAGCAGCACCGACAACCAATTATAAATAATTACAGTAAAATAGTGGTTGAAACTATCGAAAATATTACACTCATTAAAAGGTTATCGATAAACTATACTGTCTAAAAATGTCGTTAGGAATAAGCCATTTTTTATTTAAATTTATCGAGCTGCTTTAAATAAGTTATTTCGGTATTGTATCACAAGAGTTGGAGTAGATCAATGACCTCTCTGCATGTTGATTATTCAAAGTACAAATAAATTAGGTTACATCGAAAATCAATTCCTATTCATTCTTAAAATACAAAGTTTGTACCTCGTTATGTTACTCTTTACTCTATATAATAGATGTTTAACTTGGATATTATTCAGTAAGTTTATTGTTAGTTAGTTGATTAAATTACATGAATTCAAAGTTCAGAATAAATGTATTTAATATTGATAATGTAAAACTTTATTTTTTGATTAATTTCATTAATTCTAAACTAATATATAAAAAAATCTCTTAATTTTTTTTTCTTTAAACAATGCTTCCATAAATACCTTAAAATAAATAAAAGTTAATTTCACATTTCATTCATGAATAATTGATCTTTTATAGCTGACTATTTTTTTTCCTTTTCGAAGCATTTAAGGAACAAAAAAAATTTATCTTGGGCCAAAAGGCAAAAGAAATTTCATGGGAGGAAAATTACGATGACGAGCTCTACGTGGGGTGAATAACAATAAATAAAATAAGGGAGAGCTGAAGAATAAGACAAACTAGTTAGTAGTTAGAGAGTGAAGACGACGATATTGACAAGGTGACTGAACGATGTTGGATTGACGAACACGAAAGATCCCAAGTATAGGGAATAATCAATACAGGATGACAAAATGTGAGATAAAAATTAGCTACGTGAGAAAAAACATTAAGGGAATAAAATAGTGAATGACAGAGGGTGAGAAGATGTTGAGATAATGGGAGTGGGGTCAACCTCAATTCGCAACAGCACGTGCAGCCGCGTAAAAGCGACCTTGAAGGTCAATGCTCCCTCTTTCTTCCTCTCTTATTCTCTTTGGCATTTTAGCAACCGTACATATATCTGTACATTGACGCAAATCAACTCACTTGACCAATCATCGAGATAAGCAAATCAGAATATATTATTTTTATAGAAATATCTTATTCTTTCAGTGTTATTATATTATTTATAGATAGCCTGACCTTACAGACCATTTTTACGAAATAAATTTTATCATCATTCAAAAGCTTTTTTTATTTCCTTCTGAAAAAAAAATATTCCCACAACTCTTGTTGAAAAATAAAATACACATGTTATCTTGAGTTTAATAACATTGCATAATATACTGTTATCTCATTCATGAATTATAATATCCAATGAAAAATTACATTCCACTTCAAAGGACTAAAAAAAATCTTATCAACTAATCATTGTCATATAAATGCAAAAAAAAGCGTTATGAAGATGTTGGTATGAAAAAAAAAAAAAATTCTTTTCAAAATAATTTGCATTTGATGACTAAAAATTTAAAGTACGAATTGACGAAAGTATACGTCTGCCAAAGATTATAAAAAGGTAATGAGCCACTTGAGGAGACTTTCATCGTGGAACTTAAGCATTGATCATGTGAAGCCATGCCTCTTCATGGTTCATGATGTCTTCTTTCGATGGTTCAATCTAGTTATAGTAGTTACGAAAGTAGGCACTATCTGTCATGTTCTTTAAAAGAAATAAGAAGTGGATAAATTCTATACACCTGGATACTAGTGGTTGGGTTTAATGTGCATTGCAGTCACGCGTGCCTACATGTATGCTATCTCCTACGCTTTTGCACAGAATTGAAAGTTCATCGTCTGTTTGATCCTTTATATGCTGACTTTCTAGAGTTGTACAATATCTGATACTGCCATCAAGTGTCGTAAACAAAGTGGATTATGTTTACGTCAATGGCTTGACGCTTCTTCAGTATGAAAAACTTAAATAATCGAAAAGAATGTGCAGGAATAATTTTTTTTTAAAGAAGACGAACGAATTCTTAATTGAATGAAAGAGGAGTGCCTTTGACATACTCAAGAAGATACGGTGAAATTCAATAGACTCAAGTGATTCTATACAACAACGTGAATTAATTCGTTTTCTTTTTAATTTAAATTGCTCTTTATTTCATTAATTTCTCTTTTGAATTATCATTTTATTGTTTTATCTTTTTCTTTCAGCACATCATTAATAAAGCATGATGGTCTATCGTGCAGTTTTAATTTACAAATGAATGAATTTGAATTTAACTAGACTTAGGCTCTTACACTGCTTACAAATACTTCAACTCACTACCTTTGGAAGTAAAATGTCTTAGTTACTCTAGACATATGCTTAAAAAAAATATTCGACTTGGTTACGTCGATTACTAGTATTGCATTTTGTTGTGTAAATTGATCAATTTATTTAGAAGAAAATTTAATTAAAAATTAATTTTTTTTGGTAATAAGAAAAATTGAAAAAACTTTTAACTTTTTCTATTTACAAAATGGAAACTACAGATCATTATTTTTAACATTCTCATCCTATTATATAACTTTTCCAAACACTTTTATGATATAACTGTAGCTATAACTCGTGAATAAGCTTCCATAAGTTATAAGTTGAAACGTCATAAATGAATAGTAATTTATTAGCAAACCAATTAACTGAAGTATGCATTTAATATAAATTAATTTATAAAATGAATTATGGAACATTGAACATCGAATAGAAAACAAACAATTTTATATTGTAAAAAAAAAAAAAATGTAGCATAAAATCAGTTTATTTAATTGATTATTTGAAATATTATCCTACTTATATTTATCAAACTTTTATTACTTATAAATTTAATTATGAATTTTTCTTTTATATTTTTCAGTCGTTAAATGTAATTGAATTAAAACATAAAATAAACTCTCGTTAATTTATAAGTTTGAATTGAATTGAATAGTGGAATTTTTTCAAAAGTAATCAAATTCATTTGGAATCTTTGAAAATAAAATGATTGCTCAAACTTTTTAATCCAATTATTCAAAATATTTGTGTCATCTAATTGATGCAAATGGAATTTCGAATATCAATGGTATGAGAATCAAGATAATTAAATAACTGTCAGAAATTTAGATAGCCAATGGGTGTATTAATTTTTGAAGTAAAATGAAATGATAATTTTATAGCATGAATTATAATTAATTGTATGGAGAGCACATAATATCCGATCTTGTTATAACATAAAATTTGATTACCGATAGACGTTTTTTTTCTTACGCTGAAGATTGCAAATTTAAGAGAAAGTAAAAAAAACTTGATGGTAGATTGGTCTGATGGGAAATAGAAAAAGATGAGAGTCGGTGAATTTGGGCATCGCACAGACGATGGAGCAAAAGTAAGAGGAAAAGAAGCAGAGGGGAGAGGAAAGACGGGACTTGTCGGTTAACCGGAGACCGGTCGACATTCCGAAATCAGGTTTTGCGTCCGACATTTTGCAATGCCGCCTAATTCTCGTGAGTCTAGAGGCGACCGCCGTTCAAACCCTCTCCCTAATTCCACGAAGGTCGACGACGACTCTCTTTAATGTTTTTTTTTCTTTATTTCCTTTTCTGTTTACTGGCGTTTTAAGAAGATTGGCTGATGGATTTTTCGGTAGAAAAAGGCATTGCGAAAGGCAGACCTAAGAGGAGAAAGATTGAAATGTTTGGCAAAGTGCCATATTTTATCGGGGGAACGAATTTAAATATATGAAATGTCTATTATGTGTCTTAAGTTCAATCTCCTATTACTTACGCTACACATCCTGCACGCTCGACTCTCTCTCCCACATACATCGGATCAACTTTAATGAATGAATGAATGGATTGCGTCATCATGGAGATGTGCCATTGGATGTACGCACGACCGAGTGTTGTCGGTACCCGACCGTGAAAATACAGTCTCGTAATACTACAGTAGTAGGATAGGTCGACGCACCGCGGACTTGACAGGAAATAATCGATTTATTCTGGTCAACCTTCATAGAGAGAACAAAGACCACCATGGCATAGTTACCACACACACACACACTAGTCTCCTACGACTACATATATATTTATTCTCATCAAGTCTGGGAAAGTTTTTAAGAATTTGCGAAATTGAGTCAATTCGTTGACCGATCAGTCATTATTTATATGCCGATTTTTAATTAGAATTAATGTCTTACTAGTCAAGTGATATTTCATTTGTGACATCGGATTTCAAGATAGAAACACTATCAAAATTCTGCCAAGACCTTTCTCCTTTTTTTTTAAGGTAATAAAATCAACATTTCGAATAAAATTATTTGAGTATTAATTTCATTAGATTCATCATTTTTTTTAAGATCCATGGTGTTTTAGAAAGTAAGAATTAATCTAATATTAGTTTAATTGCGAATATTTAAAATTTTTTTCATTAATTAAATAAACTTTTCTTTACCCAGTGTATACAAAGGTACTAAACAATTTATGTCTCTTTACCATTTAATCACATTACATAGTTGATAAGCATTAAATACCATGTGAAGTCTGGTTCTCTCAGTTATAATTACAGTCATTGGTTTGGCTCGGTATTTCAATTATATTATTGTACAGAAATGATTAAATATGACTCACTAGACTTTTCTTAGCATCAGCTGACTCGGTTAAGATCTCGTGCTAAATTTATTCAATTAAATATTTGATATTTAAAGGATAAAAAAGAAATTTTATTTAGAATAATTGTTTGTTGAATGTGAAATGATGTGACAATGAGATAAGACTTGAAGGGATTGCAATCTAATTGATCAAAAAATTATTCATATCTGTACTTCTATCATATCATGCAGAATCCGCCTCGTCATCCTCCCACTAGTGGCGGGCGTTTCATTTCCTAGTATTAAACAGTCATCCTCGCCTACTCAGAATCTCTAGCACATTGCTAGTTTTGTACGGGTTGTAGTGGCAGTTTGCCCACGTCAGTGTAATTACTCGATGCTTGTAAGATGATCTCACGTCTCAAATAAATGTTTAAAACTTATCGGCATCTACAATTACAGTCTATGGAGTTAATCAGTCTCACCTATTTTTATAAGCTCACTTTTGACACGATCTTCTATTACTTAGTAACGGTAAAAGTGGATTACAATAGAGCTTTTCTGTTTTGTTGAAGCAAAAATTTATTTTTATAACAAATTTAGATATTTAAAATTTTTTTTAAATACCATTAAAAAATATGTATGCAAAAAATATTTTTTTATCATCATTTTTTTTATTAATAATAAAAAAAAAAAAAAAAATTCTTCTAAAGAATTTGTAGTTTTCAATAAATATTTATGACTCTGAAAATAAATTTATTTAAATCTATGCTCAATATTATATTTTTTAATAAAAATTTTATTGTCTAGTGTGAATTATATGACTTTTAAATTTTAAAATAGCACTAATGAATCTTATATAAATAAAAAAAAAATTATTTAGAATTCTGATAGAACTATAAATTATTTAAAAATAAATCTGAAGATATTGGTATTTTTTTGTAATATAAAGACACAAAAAATGTTCAACTGACAAGTCTATATCCCATTTTCCACGAAGAATAAAAAAAAAGATGATTTTCTTAAATAACTAATCAGGAAGTTAGCATCAAAAAAAAAAAAGCTTCATCAAACATAATCTTTTTGATAAAAAAAGCAGATATTGGTATGTTTACCCTAAGAATTAACATTGTATCATTGAAAATATATCACGCGATGGAAAAAAAAAGAAATCTTTGAGTATATTGATACTTATCGAAAAAAAATTCGGACTATAACTAATGGTATTTATCAAAAATTCTATAGATAACGAACCCTATCATTAGATGTCCAGTCATGCAAACTTGACGTTATCAATCTTGCGCAATCATACGGCGTCAACTATTATTGAGCTTCCTAGTGGCGCCAGTAAATATTCAGTCCATATGACATCAACTTAAGTACTTCACGTACACTTATTACATTTTATTAAGTAAATCCATTTATCGTATAATCATTAATACAAAGAAACCTCTGGTATGTAAAAATAATCATAAGAAAACTGCAATTCAAAACTTCCGGTTTCATTTAAAACAACAAAATCATCATTAATAGGACAAAAAAAAAATGGTTTGTTTAAATGATAAATAAAAATATTTAACGGACTTGATGAAAGATGATAATAACTGGTGGAAACACCTGCAAAAAATACTATTAAGGCGCTTGGACTAAAGAGTTACGGCCCTGACCAATGCCCTCTTCTCTTTCTCCACTCCTCTATATAGCGCTCAGAGTGTTCATCCGAATGGTAAAAAAAACTAGTCGCATTCCGGCGACCATTTAAACCGCGGCCAAGTCCCACGCCCAATTGCAAGGTGGCTGGTGTAGTATGAGTGGGAGGAGGCTACCAGTGACGTCATTCGACAACGTGTGACCTTCAATAAGTTCCCGCGTTTTCAGAGATCGTGCAGACGCACTTGAAACCTTGCTGAGTTAGCGTCTGTATCCTCCTATAACGGATACCAGCATTTATCATCCTGCCAAGGCGATGAGACATCAATGGGAATTTCTATTATTCTTATTTACATTTCCTTGCAAATTACTCTTGAGAATTCATGAAAATCAATGAATTTTTTCGACAAACGAATATTGTTGAATTTTTTTTTTTTGATAATATTGTGTGTTGTTATCAATCTTAGTTATGATTAATGATAAGCTTCATTAGAAATATAATTAATTATAAGATATTAAGAAATAACGTGTTTAAAAAAAAATTCTGTTTATCAATCTCTAGAAGTAATTGTTAATGAATCTTATCTTATGGATTATCTGTTTTAATAAATTTTTCTGTTTCATTAAAATAAGAAATAATTATCGGTTACTTATCAGGTTGAATGATTGCATAGAAATCATTAGAAATTACTTATCGTAATATGAAACTCGCAAAGAAAATCATTTTGATAAAAATATTTTCTCTTACTGTACAATTTTCTTATTTTACAGTTCAAGAAAAATATTTCTTTAGTGTCTAATAAATATTTTTCATTGGAACACGTGAAGTGATAATATTCAAATAATTGTTTTTAAACCTCATATATTGTTTAAAAATAATAATAATAACAAAAAAAAGACTTTTGTAAAAATTGCATGTCTAAAAAAATATGTTTACTCTGGTCAAAATCGTCTTAAGGGCGTTTCTCACGCAATATTTATGGGTGGCACGTCGCACAAGCTTTCAAAGAGAAAAGGCAAATTTGCCGGCTTCATTCTCCTAATTATCGTCTGTTGAAATAAAATAAAATATTCAAGTATTTCAGACAAAGAAATTTCACCATTACTCATCCAAATTCACGAGAAAAATTGAAAAATATTAATTGCCTTAAAAATAGTGGTAACATTATCACCTTATGGTAATTTATCAATAACTTAAATAAATGAATTGTAATAAACACAGGAAAATGAGTGTCATGTATGTACAGTATGATTACAGTTGAAATGAAAGAATTCCACGAAAATATGCAAGACACATGCAGCCGATGAGACGCGTGATGTGTACAAGAGTGCAATGTACACGATGCACCAATAGTTATTTTCTTTTTATAGCTACATTCTTAGTCTCTGTCGTATGTGCATTTTCCTCAAATGACTGATAATGATTGCATAAACGAACATGCTTTCACGATGAATACACTTATTTACATTAGAAAACGAACTAATTTCCCATTTATTTGATTTAATATCGATAAATGCCACTTTTCAAAATTTAATATCTTATGTATACACTAAGATTATATTTATCTAAGAATGTAAGAAAAAATTCCTTTGTAATTATTATATTTAATCAAATAAACTCATTAAGTATGGATTATTTATCAAAATAAAAATAAAAGTCTCTAATGCATTGTTTTTTTTTTTATTGAATTCTGTCGAATTCAAAATAGATAAAAAAAAGAAATAAATTTTCGTATGTTTCTTATTCGATGCATTTATTTGCGTGAATGTTGCAAAACATTTTGCACAGGAAAAAAAGCGCTGATGATCAAGCATCAACTACAATACATCGTGATGTAGATGTGAGGAATTTACAGTTTAAACGTTAGTGACATTGGCACAAGTGGTAGTATTAGGTTTATTGTCTACACAAGAAGTAGCAGCACCAACTCGATATGAAACGGACGCGGGATGTCACCATGTGGCGTAACGTATGTTCAGGTGTCTTATAAAATTAGAGTGACGCAAGCATTTGATCGTGGCGCCAATCACAATGTGTTACTTATGCGAAGAAAATTAGAGTATTCATTATGCCAACATCCGGAGTGACTCTAGAATATCTTTAAATATTACAAAAATCATTGAACTTAATAAAAAATAGTTTCCAACTCTTTTGACATCTAGGAATTGAAGAAAAAGAATTAGCAATCATTTGAAAGTTTAATTTGAAGTTTCTTCTTTCGTTGAAATGAATTTTTTTGATAATTGTAATTTACTTGTCTATTAGACAGTGATAGGTAGACAATGAAGAATGACAAAAAAAGTAAAAATACTTTGCACGTACATTCTGAGGAACACGAGTTCGCAAAAAGTTACGCGCAGTCTCAACTTGTGAGAACGCGCGCAGAATCGATAGGGGAAAACCAATAGTTTTTGGTATGCGGGCACGCCCGTTGTGATTAGGGAGAAGAACCGATCAGGCCCCATTACTTCTAGAAATAAACTAACTGGTTATTTTATAACTTGCATCTACAATGCGGGCAGTCAAAATTTATCTCTACGAATTATTTTATTTTTAATTTAACCCCGAGGAAAAAAAATAAACAACATGCGATAATTGCACTCGACAGTGTCGTGATTTATCGTATCTATGAAAAATAAAATAAATACGTAAAGAATGTTATAATACACTTGAATTACTCTCTTGTTAGACATAATCACGTCTTACATCATGAAAGATCATCTACCAGACTGAAGGATTCAATTATCGCAACTATATGCCATTAAAAATTACAGATTTCCAACGCTTATTTGCATACTTGCTTATTTTTTTCTTATAAAATTAATTTACCAATTCCTTTTTCAAGCTTGTTAATTCTATAAATTGCATACTAATCATCAAAACCTATCCCAAGGTTTATTTATATTTTTATCATCAAATGATTTTATTTAAAAATAGACTAATCATCGTGAGATGTTTTAAATCAACTGAATAATCTTATAAATAATAATTTAACACCTCATTGAAACATAAAATGAATCCACAGCATGAAATTGAAGTCAGAATATCATTTGTGATAAAAATAAAAATAGTATATAACTTGTGTGGGAGTAGGTTTCTGATCTACAAGTGATAAATAATATATTAGCATCAATTATTTTAATTACTTTCTAATAATTATTAAATGATAAAAATGATTGAAACTTACCGGAATCTGATGGCGTTTGAACACCTAAGAAATCCATTCTTTTGTTGTTAGGTTGATGTATGTGGTAACTATGGTCATTAAGAGGATTTCTGATTTCCGTCTGTTTGGCAGGAGAAACATTGGAACGATTCGATAAACTGCCATACTCATTAGCAAAAGAATTCGTATTGGCTTCAAGTTTTCTTTGCCCACTTCTGACAAATTGTCCAGTGACCTCGCTCACATGCACTGCCTTGATCACTGACATACACTCTGACAATTTCTCATTAATGCTGATCTGTTCATGTTTAAATATTGGTGGTTCCCGTTCACTATCTGAATCTGATTCGGAACAGCTTTGGGGCGTTTCCGGACGTGTTGAGTCACCATCACTTTCTAAACTGTCTGTTCTTCGTGGATGTTGTAGCTGCTGATGCTGTTGCTGAGGCGATGAAACTGCTCGAGATATCAGAAGACTTCGACCCGCTGCAACTTTTCGATGTATCTGACTTTTATCTTTTTTTGTGGGCAATGTCTTGTTGTGCTCTTTGCTGATGCAGAGACCTGCCCACATGCAGTCATGATGCCGAATTTCTGGGTAGTCCAAGCAATTTTTTTTATTGTCCGTAAAAAAGTCATCAAATGCACGTTCATGGTAGTGGACGTCTATAGATAGTGGTGCGTCTAAGTCGAACTTTTTCCATATATCGTCCGACACAACTGTGCCCAACGGCTCGTCCAGCAAACTAAAGTGTGAAGAATCCCACGTTGGCACCGGCATTTTTCTGTAAGGAAAAAAAACTTTAACATTTGTTGCTGATATATTTCTTTCAATTACAGTAAGAGTCATGAGTTTCTTTTTTGTGTACACGTTCTTTAATTGAATTAAACATTATTCCATACACTTTTTTTTCAAACTTTGCTCCTTGATAAAAATTGAATTAACAAGAGTATCATAATTACAGGAAATATTAGTTCAGGTATGATGCGTTCATTCATTCTTTTATTTCACAGATAAAATGTTTAGATATTTATAAAAATATGTACAATGTTGACTTTGACGTACCGAACTGGTTAACTATATATTTACATTCAACCTTGTTATTATTATTATTATTTAATTCAAATACATAACTAATGACAAACCATTCACATAATGTTACATAATTTAATGATGAATGAAAAATAATCCTCACTAAAATTCAGTAAAATTAACTTGCCCAACTTTGAATGAATTTTATTATTGATTTATTGCCAACTACAAGGGTTATCTTAAAATAAACATTAATTGGCACTTTGATTAATAAATAATTTTGGCTTTCAATGATAATTTAACAATCTTTATGAATAGGGGAAAAATGACATAACGAAATAAAAATTATATAAATATCGAGAGAGAGAAATAAAAGTATCTTCTAACTAGATGTAAACTAAATGAACGAGTAGAAATAGTATGATAATTCTTGAAGGAGTATTTAACATTGCTACTTGTGCTATAAAATTGATATTTATTTACGAGTGGCTAATAAAGATATGAAGATAGTTGTCATTTCTGAAATAACTTTAGAAAACGTAAGGACATCATTTCACATCACATTAGAAACTTTCGGCAATCATTTACTAATGACTTTAACATTTTATGGGAATCATGTCAATGAATTCACTAAATTCCAGGTGTTATTGTGATTATTATATTATATAAATAATAAATACCATCTTAACCATGATTTTTTGTCGAGCTTCGAAGGATAAAAGGAACCTTTGTAAGTCGTTCAACCGTAAAAACGCGCAAGAGAAGAAAAAACAAAGATAGATTCTTCCTTTCTTTCTGTCTCTTTCTTTTTTCGTCCCCATATTCTATCTCTTTTCTATACTAATATATGCTATATGTATATATACACATTCATTCGCGTATATGTGCCTGGCAATAGTAAAGTCCTGTATCTAAGCGCTCACTCAATCGTTCCCCTCTCTCTACGGTATCCTATCCATACACAAAAGAAGCAGGAAAGAATCACCTTCATTCGAAATAAAACTCGCGGCCAAACTGTTAGGAGCAAAAAATTCGAATGAAATTAGATCTCTCCATGGTGTACATCTATTTTGAAGCGGACTGTATACGGCACCATACAGTCATTTATACAAAGTAATGTAAGGACAAGAACAAGAAAAGTTAAATTTCAAAGAAAAAATGTAAACTTTCAGAATTGAAGTCTTATTCTTTTTTTATTTCAAATTTTTCTTTTTGTTCTCTTCATAACTTATATAAATTCTATCCGTATCGGTATAATTATTCCAAATTAAGAAATATATTCAGCTAATGGGGCAATTAAATTAATTAATATAGAAAAATTTACGACTCCTTAGGCATTTTTTTTTTAAACTCTTACTGTATTTTTATGTTTATTACTTTTATTATTTAATGAATAAATTAATAAAACGATTATATTCACAAACAACTTGTAAATAAATAAAATTTTATCTTCCGAGCTTTTCCGTTTTAGAATGACACCATAAAAACTTTCCAATCATTATACACCGTAATAAATGTCAAAAAAAAAATTCTGTCGTACTTGGAACTTGTTAATTTGGCACTTTTGTGTTTTATCTGTATATACAAATATTATAAAATACTAGGAAAACTTTAAAAAACTAATACATAATATATTAACAACTAGAAAGAACACTTAAAAAAGAGAAGCAAATGAACGAGAAAATCTACTGACTACAAACGTAAGAACATAACAAAAAAAATACATGCCTGCCAATATTATAAATACAAATAATAATACTTAAGCCCTATTGTACAAAACACTTTCCAAGAAAAAATTAAGTAAAAAGGACCACCTTAGACCTCACAGTGAGTCTTTTTCAAGGATGAATAGAGTATATTAAACTCTATGTATTTTAACTACTCACTACTGTCTGAAGTCTATCCCTGGAGACGCGATACACTTTCATTCATTTTTCTCGGAATAATAAAAGAATAAACTCCCTAATCAATAAGCAATTGTGTCATCGTTAAATAACTGATTAACTAAATGATCTTTTCGATTGATAATTAATTAAATAATAGACTTAATTGATTGTTATGTCAATAGCGAATATTTTTAGATTGTCCTGCAAAGTGTAGAGCTGTTAAAAGGAGCATCGTTATTTGTGAGAAGAAAAAAAAAACAAAAGAAAATAAACGGGAGATATGTTTCAATGAAAAGACAAAACTAAGTCTCGTATATAAACCACTACTAACTACATATAGCGTATATTATATACATATATATGATACGCTATATAGAAACGCGCGCGAATTGTAAAATCGATCCGGTTGGCACGACCCACGCGGCTCACGAAAAAAGCCGGTTGACTCTATTCCTAGGGCGTATCAGGACACTTCAAAATCGATACACTAGTTTTATTATTAAATAATTCTTACATAATAATTGATTATTTTTTACTAATTAATCTCATGAGAATTAAATAAATCATTAGAGAAAGGTTCCAGTTCAATACTAGTGAAATATTCAAAGATTGCACAAAGACATGTAACACTCACAAAACTCACAAGTCCCCAACAGTCAACACGGAACTGGGGGGTATGCATATTTAACCAGAACTTACCAATTTTCAAATAATCCAAATGAACTTAATTTGATTCACTTTTATATCAATCACTTTAAAATGTTTTAACAAATCCGGATTAATAATCAATACTAATCTAAAAACTGATTTGCTCACAAAACTGATTAGTAAATAATTTCGTACAACGAAATTAATAAAAGTTTATATATTTATTTATATATGTTTAATGTTTTATTAAGATTTCTTTCACGATCAAAACTTTTTTAAGAGCAACTTTTATTTGTTTCTTGTGATTTAGAATTCCCAACACACTACGAACAATCTATGATCGTATGAGCCAATTCCAATGTATCTTTGTAAAAATATTACACGACGTGAACGAACAATTGGCGGATAAAAGAACGGCCTGATTCAAAATAATGGACATCCTCAAGGCGCTAAATAACTCAAGATATAGATCGATTGATACGATGTTCAATATTCGGAGATTGAACTCGCACACCAGACACCGGCCGATCTTTACTTGAAAGCCGGTTCAAGGGGACTGAACGCCAGACCATGCCGCTGCTTCCAATTCCCACATTGTACGTATTATACCTGCCTCCCGCCTATACCAACTGCGTACCCGGCATCAGGGACGTATCAACTGATACCAGCGCCACTCTGCTCTACTACAGACATTGACTTTGCCTAGTTTTATTCGTCTCATGAATTCCACCATTCCGCGTTACGGCTTTTCATCTTTTTTTGCGCAGCTCAATGATTGTAAAGTAATGTTACCTTTGAAAATACGCGGAACAAAAAAAGTAAATTCCAAATACACACCGTTAGTGACATGTAATTTTTGCGGAAATACTAATTATCACTGGTAAATTTAGTTAAGTACCAATGCAAAATTAAAAAATTGCTGGGTCATCATGTTGAAAAGATTTTTCATTTAAAACATAAAAATTTCATGGTAATTATTGGGAAAGTGTAAAAATTCCTTCTAATTTGTTATACTTCGTTTTAAAACATTTCCCCTGAAAAATTAAAAGAATGAATAAAGAAAAATGTTTGTTATGAATTTAATGAATCATTTTCTGGAAGATTCGTTACAGAAAAAATCTCATCAGTCGATAATAAGCAAGAAGTTGATCCACCATTTATTCTATTATAAAATGTATTGAAAAACTCATTAAAATAAGATAGCCATTACATCATAATCATGTAAATAATTGAGAGTAATTAATTTTTGAGTAGAATGGCAAGTTTTTCTTAATAACTTTGGTTTTGATTTGTTTGACAATTTCATCTCTATATTGAATTGGAAAAAGTTTTAATACAATTTTTGGTATTTCCTGTTGTAAAATAAAACGTCATATCACATAAGTAGACGAAAATCACGAACAGTTTTTATGTTTAAAGTGGATTATCTAAAGATTAAGATAAAACTGATTAGAGAATAATCGTTAGATATTTAATTGTTAATAATTCCAGATTGTAATCAATAGTGTTTTGTATTTTACTTCCTCAATGAATAGATGAACATGAACAGGGTTGCACAAATTTATGAAAGTTATCATGTTATGTGTTTTCGCATCTATCATTTGGTGTCAAGGATTCAATATATTGTATGGAATTTATTATTAAAACACGGGATGTAAATTCGTATCTAGTTGTTTTTAAATAATTATCTAATTTTAAATATTTTCTTGGTTAAATAATTCTGTGCAATACTGTAGAATTTACAATTGTTTTTACAATTAAAAACTTTCCGTTTAATAATTGATACAGTAATAATTGACAAGCTTACATTTTTCAACCAAATTAATTGGACTATTAGATACATTTATTCTATTTTTTTTTATCCGATAGTGATGTATGGATTGCACAAGTTCTCGACAGATGTATTAGATAACAAATTGTTTCTATACTCAGATAATATAATAAAATTTTTATGTTTTAATTTTTATTAACTGACAAAAGAATGTTGATAATCAATAAATTATATCCTCTACAGGGTTTTCGGAGAATATTTAAGATTGTTGAAAGATATCAGAAAAAGCATCATACAGAGATGTGGATATGTATTTTTCGGAGAATTGCACAAAGCTATAAAAGATTGTAAACAACGAAAAAAAAGGGATATAATATTCCAATATATATTTGATATAATTTTAATTTTAGAATCGTTGATGAAAAATAATCATCAAAATCATTTTTTTCGATTATTTTGCCATAATTTGTGATTAATTACATAAACGATCATGTGGGATGATTATTTATAAATAGAAATATCTATTATTAGATATCCTAAAGGCATCACAAGTTAAATTATGTTAAATTCTTGGAACAATTATTTAAACGTCTATTTTATATGAATATTATCAATAACTGGAGGTTGCATACATATTGCATAAGAAGACAAAATGTATTCTGGCGTTTAAAAATTATGTGATAAGATTAATTATTGACGATTACTTATGTTACAGTATTAATTATCTTTTACTTCTAATCAATTCTATGAAAAAAAAATTCTCACATTTCACAGCTTTAAATTTGACAGGTGATAAATATAAAATGGAACTCTCAATTATTTGGTGATATTTTTTTATCAAATAAATATCTGACAAGATTTCACTATTTATAAGAACATTAAACAATTTAGCACCGGCGTTTAAAATCTTTTGGACTGAAAAATTGTATTGCATTGATAGCTAAAATATGTGTTAAATTTTCATGTTTGAAGATTATAAAGATAAAAAAAAACTATTGGGAAAATTACCACGTATTTAATAGTAAGTAAACATTCTTCATACATTGTTAAAAAATATTATTTGACTTCTTTCATTAAATAAAAATGAAACACCTTGAAAAGATATAGTTTAAATATTATTTATCGATCTACGTAAAAAATTGTATAATTTAATACCAAAAATAAGTTAGCTGTTTAAATTAATATAGTTTCTATGATGTAGAACTTTACACTTATTCATGACCATATTTATCTGTATAGATCTATGTATACAGACTAACAAATGTTTAATTCCATTTAAATATCTCAACGAATGAGTTTACTATCATACATTTTTTATTGTACAAATAAGATCACCAAAATAAATAATTCTTTTACTACTTACGTAGAGAATTAAGTTTTATATCAAAAAATTAATCTATTAATATAATATTTTAAAATACGTAATATTCTTATGAAACCATGTATTAAATTTGGCATGATTTTTTATTTATTTTAATTAAAATTTTTTCTTCAACAAACAACTTATAGATAATGTTTTTATCATTTATATTAGCAGTCACTTTGTTTAAGGGAAACTTGAATATATACAAGCCCTTGACATACTACGGTTATATAATCTAAGTGACATAAAAAAATTAATTATGACACTATATTCTATATAATACTACTCAATTATCTAAATTACGGAAAGTATTTTAAGTATTTTCTAACTAAAAAATTCATAATACTTACAATTGTAAATAAAACAGAAATTTTGAAAATTACAATCATTGATTTCAATATTATTTTTATAAATATTCTTGCTATATTTAATATAAATTTTAATCTTTTTAAATAATAAGATGAATTATTTTGACATATCTATTAATTTTACTCCATTCGTAATGTAATTAAAATGTTAAAATCTCTTTAGAGACTCAGAAAAAAATAAAAGCTGAAGTGGAGGGCACTTGAAGTAATAGGTACAGCGTTAAGTACGTGCGTGGGGAGAATTTTATAATATTGCCTTTTGACGAGAAATTAAGAGTCTTAAGAATAAAGAAAGAATTCTAATACAATCCTTATTGTGCAAATTATTGATTTATATTTTTTTATTAATTGTCCTTAGGTACTTCAAGAGATTATTATAATAATAATAAAAAAGCGTGATAGCTACTTTCAGTTATCTATTGATGAGCGTGCGCACAGCTTGACTGCGTCGCGACAAATGGTGGGGACTTCTATCTCCCGCGCTTCCATTCTTACCGACGAACAAGTTTAATTTTGCCCACGACTCATCCTCATCCCCAGCAGTTACTTTGCACACCCTCAAGACAAAATTTCAAGGCGAATCAAGGGCGGTGGCTCTATCGACCATATGAAAAACCTTAGATTTTTCTCTATAAAAAAATTCAAGCATTTTCTATAATTTATCAATTAAATGCATTTAAAGAAAATGTATTGTAATACATAACCTGATTCTCAAGGAATCAATGACTTGACTTCTCATTAAATTGAGGATAAAATTGCCTTATATTTAGTCGAATTATATTTCAACTATAAAAAAAATGCTATGAGCAGTCCACAAAAAAGGGGTTGTTATTGAGAAGATGTAGTTATAATAGATTACCGTGCTTTGATGTATGACGCTTGTCTACCAGATTCTGACGCCCGCATTCAAGTGGAAAAAACAACAAGAGTCAAGACGAAATTTGATAATCTGAAAAGTGATCTAGCTTTAGGAAGACTAGACAGGTTGGCCATTTAGAGTATTTATTCACAAAACCATCAAACTTGCATCCCTACCAGCTACTAAGTTTGCCATTTTGGCTGAATCATTCTGAAAAAAATATTCATCAATACTAGTTTATTAATATTTCATTACAATAAACCTTGAGATATAATAACATATGATATGGAAAAAATTATTACGTAGTAGTAATCTTTTCACGAAGTTTCTTATAAAATCTCATGGGGGTAGAAAGGTATTAAGTTTTGGACAAAGGCAATATATCATCAGATTGTTTCCATGCTACTCAGAAATTTTTTCATGCAATACAATACTTAAGATATCACTCAATGTATAGCAATCCAATTACCTGACACGTCGCTATAACTACTTATTATATTGAACCAATGACAGCTCATTTAATAATTACCCATTTGAAAGATAATAAAAAAGGAGAATTTTTATTTTATATAGGTTTCAAACAACATCAATTTGTCTTCAATAATTACACTGAACTCTATGACAAATAATAGTCAAATAAATCCGACCCTCATTTTTAACAAATTTCTACTTAAAAATGTGCAATAAAATTTTGTCAATAAACTAGGTAAAGTCCAATAAAACAATTACAGTTATAAATAAAAAAAACTTCATAGATGCTATTAAGTTCCAACCGATTTTCGCCATTGATAATATGATGCAGATTTAAAGAAGCCTTGATTGCAATGAAGAATGACAACAACTGTTTTCTCCTGTAAACACAAAATTTCAGACACATTGCCATCCAGGTCAACAAAGAAACAATACAAATTCTGAGAAAATTGTCAAAAGACGTCACATGATCTTGACGTCACTGGGGAAAATACAGAGGGGCCCACATCAGGTATAAGATGTATTAGACTAGACATGCCTTAGGAGTGGTAGGGAAATTTCAATTAAGTAGACTTTCCATAGAAATCATGAACAATCTTGATGTATTCACAAGTAATATTACTAGAATATTACTACACTTCAATTGGTCTTCAAATGAAACTTACCTAAATGGTTTATTAATTGCTTCATTTCTCAAAGTTCCAATAATAGAACATTGAAAATTTACCTTTGAATTGCTTTCCATTTTATATAATATTATTAATTATATTAATAACATTATTCATATTGGAATTTGAATATATTAATTATTTCATGTATTGATTTTTGACGCAGAAGTGTTTTTTTCACCGTTCTTTCTGTAATTCCTTGTTACTTGTAGTTCACTAAGCTTTGGTAAGAAGAAATAGAAAACACCAACATTATAACATTAATCTTTTTAAAAGCCAATAATTGCAGTAAGCTACTTAAACTAATTACAGTATAATCCAAATGACTTGATTTTAAAGAGAACAAGAAACAATCATTATAAGCTCTTTAATTTGAAAAACAACGAAGCGTCGACTTGAGTCACTTGAATACTTAATAATCAAAAACAGATATTTATAAACATTGTTTCTCTTCTTGAGAATCGTTAGTAAGACAAGAGATATTTAAGATAATAAATGTCATAAATTTTCACCAAAGATTTCGTCAGATTAGTTAAAATCGAATTGTCTATCGTTCCGCCTTATAACAAAGCTCGTCAAATTTGTTTTCTTTCAGGTATAATATTTAGTCTCTACAGATATCCGGCATTCAAATTTGGTCGAATACCTGGACTATACTTATAGAGCCAGGTAAATATGGATCTTTAAGCTTCTCAGGTAAGTGAAGATACTCTCAATAAGTCAACGCTTGTTTGGCTCTGCATTTTTCAAAAGAGAAAGCAATATACAACTTCCTTTCAATGTCCTTTTTGGTTTACAACATAAATTTTCTATTTCTAGTATCCATTTGCATATCCTTCTTAAGTTCGTTCATTTTCATGCTCATTTCACTTCTCTTCTCCTGCGTTATATTACATTGTTCCGGAATCCACAAAATTGCGCAAAAGGATCCATAAATATCGAGCTAATAAATTATTTTATAGAATACTTTGAAGTATTTTCTCGAGTTTTCGTTCTGAACCCTTGAATATTCAACGGATACTTTCTTCGTTATACACCTTACAATGTAAACAATGTATCATGTATAAATAGATTTCACCTGATGCTTGACAGGCTCTTTTTCTGAAGTACAAACAAATATGGTGGAATAGAAAATAAATTAGGTATATTGTAGCAAACCCCTCTAGTTTCTATATCCTTTAGTTTATAAACATGAGGTTTAATATGACTTCAAAGGTTGCAACCATAGTCAGAATGCCAGAATTTAAATTAAACTAAAAAAAGTTTAATCATGTCTTTTTTGAAAATAATATTCTCATGTGGTCTCAAGTTGAGCAATGCTTCATAAAATGACATGAAAGCATCTCTCAGAAGTTTGAGAAAAATAAAATATCAATGTGAAATTGAGCCAACAGTATCATAAAGGTAGATTGATGTATCAACGACAATGATATTCGAGTTATTCAAAATGTGTCAAATCGAAATATCCTTAGTTGGAATGAATTCGGAAAAGATTTCTATCTGGGCAAAATGGAGACATTGACCAGCTCTGCTAGGTTAAATCTAGGTATTGGTTTTGAAAATATAAAAGTAAAATTCAAGAATTTTCCTTAAGTACATCTGACAGCTTATTTTGAATAGTTAAAACATGTTACTCTGCAACTTTGAATAGATATTGCAATTTTTACAACGACAAACTTCAAAATCCTACATCTGTCTTCTTTGAAGGCAAATACATGGTTTTGCAGTTTTTTTATTAAATATTTTTTTAGAATACTCACCAACATATACGGTATGATGTGAAAAGTACTCGATAAGCTTTATTTTATATACATCAAAGTATATTGGAGATATATAAAGGCTTCTTTTCATTTGAAAATAAAGGGTTGTTCGTTAACGATGGCTCCCATGGTAACTATTTTAGCTTCTTTCTTCTAAAACCAAAAAAATGAAGCTATTTTAGAGTAAACCTACACAAAATTTACTAGCTACAAAATAGAAATTCTTTTTACTTCAAGGATACTGTCTTTCATTCCCATCAAAGCTAAATCCTCATTCTCTGTAGCTGTAACTAAATCTGATCCTTTCTGAGAGGGCATGGCCAGATACTTAATCACTTAGCATGGAACATTGAAGTTAACTACCTTTGTTGATGACTCTTTTAAATGCACTGCGTTGCTGAGGATATTCTACTTCACACTGAAAGTAACAAACCAAAACATTGACAACTTTAGTATCAGAGACTAAAATATTATTCAAAAAAAATATATTCATCCAATTATTCATATTTTTAGAATTTCTTTTAACAAACTCTTTTATAGTTTATGACACTTTTATAGTAAAAATTTTGAAGCTTTATAAAATTTTCTTGAAATGAGCTGCACTTTCTTTATTTCATTTTCTTTGATGTAAGTATTTTTTTTTTCTATTGAGTGTTGATATCCTGTTAGATGTCTTTATGCAAAGATTAAATGATTATCTTTACAATTTTTCACAGATTTCAAAAGAATTCTAATTAAGCTACAAAATCTTACTGTGATGTTTTACCGCCCCTAGAGAATTTGATCTGGGTTGTAGATCATAGTCAGAAGAACCTTAGCTGTCCAGGAGCCTCTGGCAAAAAGAGACAATCGTATGCAGGGTCCCAGTAGGGTCCAATACCTCTCTCACTTGTATTGCTGAAGCGGAAACATTGTATTGGAAATTCCCTTGGATCCCAAGATCAGAATACACCCGGTTCTGTTGAAGACACATCTGAAACACCCCTGCAGGAGTCACATGTGTGACCATAAATTTCCAGGGGATGGTCATCACCAAAAATCCCACACGCAAAGTTTATTTTTGTCACATGCTACATCAAAACTTGCTAACATCATTTTGTTACAGTTATTTATGACTTTCCCGTTACAGTGATTAAGTGATTCTTAAGTACATTAATCAGTCATCCAATATGAAAACAATCTCTATATCACATGTGTATTAAATTAGAATAAAATTTAATTAGAGAGTAGGATTAATTTAATTGAATATTGATGAAATATTTTACAGTAGATAATGGTGTCCGTTATTGTTTTAAGATTCGAATCTTTTTTAGTTCCCACAAAGTAGTAAGTAAGGTCTGAAATGGATTGACAGTTTTTGATGTACGTTTGTTATCTATTTTTGAAGAATTTTAAAAATCCTGAACCATCTTGATTTGTTATTTTTGTTTCTTAAAGAAACTTTTTTTCAAATATCAAATATGCCTACAGTCTTGAATAATCATTACTCATGTTTTTTTATGTCTCTCTTTTAGAAAAGATTGTGCAAAAAATAAATTTTTATAACAGAATTAGTCTACTAGTAATTTATACTTTTAGAGATACTCTAAAATTGAAGTAATTTAAAACCAAGGTAATTAAAAAAGGTATCTATTTCTAAAGAGGCATTTTTAAGTTATTAAATCTTATCACTTCTAACTTGCGTATTTAATTAACTTTTTAATTCATATAATAAATTGATAGATTAATAAGAGCTGATAAATGCTGTTAGACTCAGAAAACTAATTGATTTTTTCATTTTTCTTGTTAGTTCACTCGTGAAATACTTTCTCAAACAGCCAGATATTTGATTACATGAATTAAATTCACGAGAATAACTGAGTTTTTTGAGGTAACTCTTCAATTAAATTTACCAGAGTAAAATGGTAGAATGTGAATCTGTCAATAATCAACTTTATTACCAAAACGAAATTGACTTTCATATCGTTTTTACAAAAATAGCTTCATCCAGCTCTGAACAATTCTTACTTAGCTTCATAATGATATAGTAGTTTCATTCAGTTTTTTCACGTTGCAAAGTTTTACAATAATACAATATTGTCATAAGCAATTATTATAATTTTTTTACACATGAAAACCGGAAACACAATCATACTAATTATTTTAATTGTAATGACAATCTAAACTTAGATTCCTCATAATTGATTTACTCTATATATAGCATTTTTCCATAAATAGTGATATAATAACTAATTTTTTTCTACCTCTAAGTATTTTTATCTAAATTACAAAAGTGATATTTTTTGTTCTTCCCAGGAAAGAAATTAATAATATTGTAACTGCACTCATTAAGCACACGACAATTATATAAAGTGCTAGTTTTAATTACTAACAATATGATAAATGAATAGAACGACTATTATTTTTTATTTATCGAATTAAATGTCGATTTTTCATAAAATCTCTAGAATGTGATGATTTTGTTTTCATTGATAACATTTTACACAAAAGCATTACTTACTTTTAGAGAATCAAAAGATACAAATGTGTATCCCTTATAAAATAAAATAATATTTATTATCAATTCAAGAACTTTATCGTATGGCAATAATTGTTTTTAGACCACTGTTCAAAGTTAGGTTATTTTCAGGAGCGTGAATTTGATGTGATATTTTTTCTCTTCCATAAGTCAATTTATCAGAATATTTTTTATTTATTGAATAAATAAATAAATATGTTAACGCTCTATGAGCATACACATTGAATTTATTATTGATTATGTTTAGTTTTGAAAAAACATATGCCATATCAAAATCAAAGGGTGTATATACATATAAATCATTTTCTACGCAATTGACTTCAGGCGAATGGTGGATGCACTCTGACGTTAGCTTTGATTTTTTTGATGGTGAAGAATGCCAGAAAGTTCGATATAATTCAGTGTCATCTGTGGATGATTTGTATTGATATGTTGGTAATAGGAAAGTACCTGTTGCTCTAGACATATTTGATGACAAAGTGGAATAAAATAGTATATAATTTTTTTTGTAACGTCATCGTTAATGTCATTCAGTTCTATACAGACATACCTTCCGATCTTTTATTCATAATTTTTAACAGTGTAGTTTAGGTCCCTTCTTCGAAATTTTTTATTATGGTAATTTTTTTCTTTTAATATTTTCAATAATTTAGCTTATATAACGATTTTGCTTAACTTTTCCCCTATTTTATAAAATAACTATTAATAGAAAATCGATAGTTGTATATTTCTTAACCTCAATTGATATTCAAATGAATTTATTGAAAGCGAATTATTTTATTCAATTAAAAAAACTTACTAGATTAATTTATCATTTTATCAATACTTTTGAATGAGATTGATGATATTTTTAATATTATAAGATCATGAGAGGATATCGACAATGAAATTCATGATCAGGCACTGAGCATAATTAATTTCAATTAACTAATGATATAGTAATTAATAAAGTGAAAAATTGTTCAATTGAAGCATTGAATGTCTGTCAATAAATAATGCTTAAAAATTCAATCACTTGAATGATCATCAGCATTAGTGATAATCGATCAGAGTATGAACTCATTTATTCACTTTCTCTCAATGATCAGTAATGAGTTATAGCTGAGAATATTTTCCTGTTATAATTAATATCATAATTGTTCTTTGAATTCTTCATCTAAAGAATCTCTGGATGTTTATTCAATAATATTAATATCTAATGTTCCCAGATCCATGGTATTTAAAATAATAAAACTATCGTTTAAACTTCATTATCTGCGAATACATGTACTTTTTTCTACTAAATATTCTGAATTTAAATTATTTTACAAGTTTACTATAATTGGAAAAAAGTAAACGATCATTCTTTGTCCAATTTTTCGAAGTAATGAAGAATATGAGAAGGTTTTGGAAACTAAACAAATTCTTCCTCCGTAAAAGACTGCAGAGGAAAGAAAAATACCAAGAATTCATAAAAATTCCATCATTTATAGCAGAAGGGCGGTAAAGAATTGATAGAATTCTACCGTTTCCGGCTATCTCATTTTTTTCTCAATAGCAAAATTCACTGGTTCATTTTTTACAAGAAATTGTTTAAAAATCTCAGAAGAAAATAATTTCTAGAATTTATTTGTCCATAATTTTCTTTTTCAATACTTTAGAAATCAATTTAATTTTGTCAGGATAAATAGAATACAATTTCCATTTTATAGCTGCAAGTGAATATTTATTTATGGTTTCTGGTGATAAAAAGTTCTTCAAAGCTCTTTTAAAACTTTTTTTATCATTGTCATCAATTTTTTGTAATTTCATAGTTAGTTCGCTCATGGTATGTTCAGGTAAAGCAAAATCATCATTTTTGTTTTCACCCACCATTGAGTATACTCTTTTATTGTCTTTGGGCATACGTTTCAGCAATCTAGAAGTTAATTTTTGGAACTTAGGACGTAAAGTACTAGTCACTGAATTTGATGGAGTTGAATTCAATCGTTCAGTATAATTGTCATCATCAGAAGAATCTTTTGATTGTGCATCCTCATCATCACTATCATTTTCATCATAATCCCAGTAATAATTTTCAGCTTTAGAATTTGTCAATTTAGAATATTTAGACATACTATTTTATCGACAATTACTATAAGTTTCTAAAAATTCGTATTACAAAAGCTCATCAATTTCCTGTACTAATAATAAAAGCAAAAAAGTCTGTATAATTTTTAAAACAGATGAATACAATTTTAATGGTAATCAATTTTTTATCATTGCTAGTTTTAATAATTCTAATAATAAGCATAGCTCCGTACTTTCTGAGAATGAATTTATAGAAACCACTCTGGAATGATGAATATTCACTAGTTTTTAGTAATTTTCATTAATTTATTTTTAGAAAGTATGTAGATGAAATTAAATCAGGTTGCTCATGATCTAAATTAATAAATCCAATATTAATGAACTGATATAATAAACCATTTCTAACAGTATAATATTTTCTCTGCTGACAATTTAATTGAAATCTAACTAAAATCTTTTCAAAGCTTGTCATCTAACACAATGTCAAAAACAGATGTGAGCAAGTCTATCATCAAGACAAAAGTCTAGATGCTAGGGATCAATCATTCTAAATTTATCATGTAATCTATTTGGAGTTGATAATTATAAGCCTTCTATCAACATAAAAAAAGGAAATCTCATTTTTTCAATAACGTAAGAATTGTTATTCACTCAGACAGTTGATTTCTATAGAACTTTTTGTATGCTCTTTTTAATGTTTTCGAGATCATTGATGGATCTCGTTCAGGGAAAGCTTTAAGTAATCTGCGTTTTATAACAGAATGAGCATAACCTTGAATAAGGTCTGGAATTAAAGATTTCTTCAGCACCTTCTTAAATTTTCTATCATCATTTTGATCTACCTGTTTCAATTTTTCTATAACATTGCCTAAGTATACTGGATCATCTTTTTTAGAACTAGAATATTTATCAGCTTTTGTGTTTTGATCAAACAATTTTTTATATCTTCTGTGTTTTCTTTTTGAATACTTTGGATGTAATCTGCAGTTCGGGTTTATTACAAAATTATCAAAATCAGGATTAGAAAATTGAACATGTTTTGAAGCAGTGGGATCATCAAATTTCAGTTCATCTGCATTCGAATAAGATGAGTCAAAATATCTATCCCTACTCCGTGTCTTTGGTAGAAGAGTTTCTGATGATAATAAATCCATTAAATAATTTAATTTTTTATTCTAGCTAATAAAACTTTATAAAAAACCAATTACTCTAGAGACATTCTGAAGTTGACTTTATTAAAATAATTTAATTAGAATGCCTCCATGTGAGACATACTAATTAATCAATAACATTGTTAATCACAATATGTGACGATAAAATACATGAGATTAAATCAGGACATTACAATAGACGATAAAGTAAAACAGATGATTATAACAATTATAACTTTGTATTACTCATGCATTATACATTTGCAGAAATTATAATATGAGGGAAAGACAAAAGTAATAGTGGCCACTGCACCGAGAGAAAAGGAAAAGGCCTGAGTCACTAACTTTTGTAAGATCTAGTAATTAACTTTAATATCACACATTGTTAGAAGTAATATTTGGGACAGTAAAATAAGTTGTAAGTATTAAGCGTTAAATGTTCAGTATGCAAAAATGATTTATATTTTATGCTTTATCAAAGATAAATCTATAGCTGTTTCTTATAATGTAAATGAACATTAAACTTTATTACTTTTAAAGTCATTTATCATTGATGATGTTGATACTTAACACTAGCAACGAATAGAGGTGGAAGAATAGTTTAGAGAAAGTGTATTTAGTACTCATAGTTTTAATTTAATGCAATGTGATTTTTTTTAAATGTTTTAAAAAGCTATTTTAGAAATATTCATTGACTTTTATTATCATTATAATCATTGAAGATACTTGCTCTAAAATATTACCTCCATTCTCTCTATTGTTAGTGTAGGGTATCAAGATTGCTAAATGCTAAAAATAATTTTAAACATTGTTATTTTTAGATTCGAGCCAATAAATCCAAGACACAAATTGATATTTTTCAAGAAACGATACTTAATGAGTTCAAAATTTATTTACAACGCAAAGAATGAGGTGAGTTATATGTGTAGATGGATATTACAGGATAAAAAGAGTAAATTGTATATAGATATATAATACTGGACTGCCTGAATGTCTCTTATCTTCTGATCATTTCTGGAGATACTCCAAAAATCAAGACGGTTAGCAGAACAGACCTCCAATCTATTGCGGCAACAGAGCATTTTTCCCATGTGATAGTGCATATGACCAGAACTCGAGTGTTAGTGTGGCATGTCAAGAAGATTAACAGAGCGCAACCCACATTCACTGTAATGAACGAAATGCCTAAAAACGGCGCCGCATGTACAACAGTAATTAGGGGCTTTTATTAATTAGCCAATTAAGCTCAACTCTGATCTTGATCTCCTGTGCATCCTGTCGCGCTTCGTTAACGGACATGATTTGAACGTCTGAAGCTCTTCAAGATGAAGCAATGCGTCTAAGTGATCTTTGTATGAGCTATTAAAATCATATTATATTAATCATTATTATCACTCTTTCTGTTTTCACAATGACTAGTATCAAGACTCAGATTTTTGTCTCTGTAATGACTTTAATTATTTTGATATGAGGACAGAAATTTTTTGATAGAGTTTTATTTACTGTTTAGAACTTTCAATTACCTTTTAAATTATGCAACATCTTTAGGAAAATTACTTTTTGAATTAATGAATCAAGAAATAAGATGATCAACATAAGTTTCATTCTATTTATTTTTCAAAAAGTTTTAATCCCATACTGGATTATCATGAATATTCTTTTACAACTTTAATTATCTTATGAACTTTTTCTTTAATTAAAAATAATACTATTATATCTGATAGATGAATTAAGCTTTAGTTCCATTCAAGTTAACTTGAATAAAATCAAAGTGTTAGTTTAAACGTGATATTTCTGAATAATGCCATTGAAATGAAATTTTATATCACTTCGTAATATGTCTGGAAGTCAAGAATCAAATCTCCATCAAGTTAGCAAAGAATCAGCATGAAAATGTAATAAACCATACTAGAAGTATTGAAAAATTCCAAAAAATCATCATGGTGTTATTCTGCATGGAAAGTAGACGGTGGGCAGTTGTACAACAAAACAAATGGTCTGGTCTTAAATGAGAGCAGCAGTACATACAGGTGTCGGTCTAGACTCGTTTATCGAATGTACCGAAAAGAAAAGTGCGAAAAAAGAAAAGAAGAAGGCAATAAAAGTGAGAGAAGAAAAAATGGAACGAGTAGACGTCACTATAAGCAATATGAGCAAAAAATGAGTCCAAGTCTGGGAGGAACCAGTTCGAAACTGCTTACATTATATTCTGGGGAGTTCTCCTCTTTTCGGTCTGACTACCAAGACTACCTAGACCACGAGAATAAAGGATAAAGAATAAAGCGTATAAAAGAGACAGACTAGAAGTCTTACTCGCACAAACCCTAATACAATGTGAGAATATAAAGAAGAGAGTTTTTGCGACGACTCAGACGAGGTCGATCTTGCAAAAATCCGTTGAGGCGGGTGCGTGCAGACGGGATAGAAAGATGTGTCTAACAAAAGTGCGAGTGTACCGAACCAGTGATGGGTTTCAAAGTTCTATAGTTAAAAAATTTGCAGGAAGAACCAAGATATATTGTAGAATTCATTGCTGACGTATAAACATGCGTTCAAGTATCGTTCCGGTCTTGTTCATATATAATAAGACTCATCCCTCGTTTGTCGAAGGTTACTTTCAATTTTTAGACTCGCCATGCGCAAAATGTTTCCTGCATCTTGATAATTTAATCCCAGGGCTCTTCCGTTAGTTCACTGACCAAGAATTAGCTTAATTAATGGAAGAAATTTTACTCAATGTTCATATAATTCTTCATTTTTTTGTATATATATCACTCCAGAATAGTGGATTACTCAAATTTTCAACATATCAGCATCAGTATGAGTCTAATTTTATTTATATTTTTTTCTTTGAGAGAGAATAATTGAGTCAGAGTTTAGAGGAAGTGATAACAGACAATAATTCATTTAGTTTACAGTCAGAACTCATTAATAATAAATTCGTAGTAAGATTTTAATTTGATATCATTCAAGTTTATCATTACATGAAGAATAATAAATCATAAATTTATAAAAATAATTGATTCATATTCGTACATGTTCTCCACTTTATTTTGCTAAAACTATTTGATTTCACTTTTATGATCAGCTTATTGAATCAAACTCGAAAAACCTCATGGGACTATATTAGATAGAATATCAATTTGTATGTACATAATCAGCTATCAGTGCAACAATGTATCATCAATAAAGCTGCACAGAAGTAACAATTAAGAGAATATTTTTTTTCAAAATGATAACTCATTTATTCAACAGTAAATTTAAAATCATTTCATTGAAGTTTATCATTGAGTATTCCTAATAGAATAAATATACTTGATAATAATAATTCGTTTTTCAGAGAAGGATATTTAATATCAAAACTAATTAATTCTTTTAATTTTAATAAAGACTCATGTCTTTGTGATTTTTTTTTTAAAATAAAACTAATGATCACAATTATAGATGCTATTTTTATGCAGTTAAATATTCATGTAGAGAAAAATTGAGAAGAATTTTAAAAATGTACTCACAAATTAAAGTCAATTCTCAATGTTTGTGTAATGAACTCCATGAGTAATAAATCAGCATATTTTTTTATTTTTTATATTTTGTATTCATACATGAATACAACGAATATAATTCTATCTTGTTTCAAGTAATATTAGAATGGTTAATTAATAATTCAAATGTTATTAAGTGATGTACTAGGTCATTTATATTTGTATAGGGGGACATTCTTGTGAATTTAAATAAAATGTGAAATGTGCACGTGAAATTAATCGAGATAATGAAATCGACAAAATGAAAGATAATATAAGCACACTAGGGGGAAACAACCATGTAACGTGGAAACCTTGACCCGCATGCGGAAGTATACATATAATAGTAAAAGGACTACTCGTCAATAATACACATATGTTTCGTGAGAAATAAGAATTATTTTTTGGCACATCTAGTATTCAAGTAATGCAGACGTAGAGCTACTTTTTTGATAACATTGTTAAATAAATTATCTTCCATCTGTTTAATTGTCAGCAATATAAGAAAAAAAAAATGTGGAAAATTTTTAAAATGTATTAAACAGTGATGTAAATTTGTTTTGTTCGTAGAAAAGATAACTATACAAATATAAAATTTTTATTTGCTATTGAGATGACGTTTCAATTGTTAGAAATTTTTTGTATGTCTCTTTAGTGAAACTTATCTATTGTTATAATTCTTTGACAATAAAAACCATCAAATATAGATTTTAGATATCACATAGGAATTGTTTATTATGTTCAAACTGTTATATTAAAAAATATTCTGTATTTAATTTTATTTTAAGACTGAAGTACTTATCAATTGAAAAATTTCAATATCTTTCAACATCTTTTTTTTAAATTAGAGATATTTTTGCTCCAATATGCACCGTAAAAGCATCATCGATTAATTTAATTTTTATAAAACAATTTAATTAAATATAAAGTTAAGAAATTATTCATTGCCCTACAAATTGTTGTAATTTAACAATAAAAAACTTTTGAGTGAAGATTTAAAAGAAATATTCGCTAATTCTCTCATTCATAATTAAAATTTTAAGAGCAAATCTGAATAATTTGCTAATTTCTACTAGCTGAAGGAAAATGATAAATATTAATTAATCCTTTTCTAAAATGATTTCTATGTTAATTTAAACGACTTCCTTCCAATAACATTAAAGTGAAAATTGTTTGATTAAAATATCAAGTTCATTAAAACAAAGAAAAGATGTAAAGAAGGTAATTTAAAATGTCGTCTGCAACTTCTGGATCTTGCGATAAATTTGTGAATCATGAACGTACAGAAGTACGGTAAATTGTATTCGAGAAAACTTATACTTGCGGTAGTTTGAGAGACCCTAAAAACTGGTTCTTTCTTATTCCCCCCTAGTAAGGAGCACCTGGCTTCAGTCTTGGGGACTGAAACGATGTGAGACGGTGAACCTCACGATGAAGCCGCTGTATACGCCCGATCGAATCTCCAATTTCTCTGCCGATCTCATCGTCTCGAAGAATTAATCGTCAATCCTTGTAGCTCGATAAGTCTGGTCAAAACTATTAAAAAATAATCTGTTCTGTCATAATAAATATTTTAAAGAAACAATAACTCTAAATTATTTCATTTCAAATATATATTGACCATTTGGTACATTTAATTACTATCATTATCTTTAATCATAATTAACAATTAATAATAACAATAATAATTAAATGTAAAAAAAGTATTTAAAAAAATGACAATTACGATTGAAAACATTTTATTGATTTGATTTATTTATAAATAAAGTCATTGTTGATTAATTAATTTAACTATTCAGCAGAAAGATGTATCTCTTTTTCTAATGGAAACATCCAAGGAATAATAACATTCCAGGAAATTAGATTTTTAGTCCACTAATAAAGATTGCTTGCTGTTACATAATTTTCTGTTTTATTAATTTAATCCAAGGGTACCACAAATAACCCTTAACAAATAATTCCATTTTGTTCAGTAAAAGAAAGCCACTCTTTATTAAGTGACAATTGTGATAAAAAAAATCTCTATAAATAATGTTATATGTTATTAAATTATAAGTGTAAGCTATAAGAAATCTAGATGAAGAAACCTGAAAAAAATTCAAGTGTAAATAGACTCATAAAGATGACAACTATTACATTGTAAATATAAGTAAAAGGTAGTTCAGTGGAAATTAGTATTAATAATTTAACTTGATTTGAGCTTATTAAAGCTCCAATGGACTTTGATTAAAACACTTTTATTTTCAGTATATTAAAAAACAATAACTTAACAAGCTATTTTCAAGAGTCATTAATCATCAAAGAGTAAAACTTAATGTTTCACTGTCAATTCAAAGAGGCAATCATTGTGAAGTTATGTAAATAACAGACTATGTGTTAGTTATATCAACATAATGTACATAAATACACGTAGCATTTAAAATACTTGTACAATTAACCTTGGATTCCACCAGTATGATATAAAAGAACATACAAGTACACTTATGGTGTTCAATAAGTCCAATAAGTTGGCAGATTATCTGAGAGAGTATGTGATGTATTCTCTTTATCTTCGTTTGACTTATTTTAAAAAGAGCCACCTACACAGAAGGTATTCTAGATCATGAAGTTTCAGGTCAATATCCTTCAAGAATCTTACCACGCAAGAAGTATGTATTTTCATGACAACTATGGTTATGCTGTTACATCTTGCAGAACCAGTACAACTTTAGTTGATCAAAAAATCACTCAATAATTTGTGTCGGTTCATACATTGTAGCATTAAAAATAAATTTAAATAGTTTTATAGCTGCATCTGTCTTTATAATTAATCAAGGGTTATTATTTTATGTAGACAATATAATAACAGTTTTAACTGACACAAATTTACAATTCCTGGTGGAT